CCCGTATATGGTAATACAGTACAGTGAACTGGGTTATGGCTTTTTTTTCTTGTAACAAATCTGAAGAGAATCTAAGCTGCTGCAGCATCAGTTCTGCCCTTTCTTTGGCCTCATGAAGTAGCGTAGTACTGCAGTTAATTTACTGAGGCTTGCTGCCCTATAGGATTGGTGGATGAAATTCCTTTTCTGGAAGTACTTCAAGGCCCGTTTGATTACACTAAGATGAGAAATCTTCATGTGTTTAGCCTATATTGTTTTGTTACGCTTAATTTGGGCATGAATATGGCTTTGCCTTTCAAATCTGGTATTTCAAACCAGTTCTGACCTACAGAACTGAAATTCACAATTTCGTACATGGTTTAATGAAGAAGGTAGTGGGGAAATTGGATTGTGTGTTAAATAGTTTTCATTTTACAGCATATTCTGCGAAGCGCTTAGAGACGTTGAGAAGACGTGAAAAGCGCTATATCAAATGCAAGGATTATTATTATTTCTGGCTTTTGATGCTTTTCTAACTACAGGATCATTTTTAATGCTGAAATCCAAATATGATTTATACGGCGACAGCCGAAAACGGCTTTGTAGAACCTTCAGTAGTTCAGTTAACTCATTATTCATGCCACTTTTTAAGTCTTTGAAACTGTTTATCAAACTCACTAATGAGTGTGAGATAAGTCAATCAATTGGCTGCCTTTAATAGTATGTTTCCACTGTATGAAACCTTGTGATTAAAGCTTGTTTTTTGAGCAAAAAGGAATTCGGTTTTGCATGCCATTGAGAGAAGCTGCAATGTAAAGTTTTGGTTTACTTGAATATGAAGTATTTGTAAGAAAATGGGTTGATAATACATGTATGATTTGTTCATACCTACTGTATATGATTTTGAAAAAACAATTCCTGGTAGCACCTATGACTTCATAAACCAGTGATTCTGCGATTGGCTTCTTCAAAAAAAAAAACAATCACTGATCTATACTTAGGGGAGTAGGTCAAAGAGTTAAAGGTTCAAGGAGAATGGATGGGAAGAATAGACATTGGAGAGAAAGGAATGTTGTTCACAGGGAGGGACATCTGGCACTTTAATAATACTATGGTGTGTTTTTGGAAATCGGTAGAAAAACGTATACAGTGTTCCACAAGTTCTACCAGTGCAGTGTACATAGTTTAGCTTTTAAGCTGCAATGTTTTTGTTTAAATTTTCATGGTCGTTTATTCATGGAGGCATGGACAGCTCATAATACAGAATCTAGTTGATGACCGATATCCTGAAACTTGGTTTACCATTGAGTAGCTGACCAATTGGGCATTATTGGTGTAACCAAATAAGAGGGTGTTTGTGCAACATAGTTCAATCTATTAGCATCCAGCATGCTGAGTGACCATCTCCTTATTCTGTCAGTGGAATGATACTACAATATTTTTAGAATCTGAATAATTGCTTTTCATAGTCAATGAAAATGTTTCAATTAGTAAGATTAGTGTAACTTAATGCTCAAAAGGTTTGTTTGTTCATTCTCTTGTTTTTGAACATTCGCTGTATTTTTTCCCCAAGGAGCAAAGCAATTTTGTGTTGTGCTTTTTAGTTTTGAACCCATACAAGAGTTTGGTTGTAAAAACGTGACTCTGGCAAGATCCTGCTTCAGCAAAAATTTGACCCTTTTTCTTTTCTATATATTTGTCCATATTTGTAGAATGTTTTTATATCTTCACTTCCTTCTGCATACTAAATCTTATTTGCAGAGGAATTTCATGGCATTCATTAAGCTAGGATGTGAACACTGCCTGTCATTTTGAAGTATCATAACTTGCTCAACACAGCTGCTGCTTCTGTACAAATTAGTGCAGTTCTGTTTCCTTTTCCTAACTGCAGTGATTGCTTTCATACCAGTTGCTAGTAACTGCACAGCACCTCTTCGGCTGAATATTATCCAGCATGTTTCACAGCCTTTAGTAAAAAAACGCATAATGGGAGAAAACAGGACAGGAACAAAATCAAAGGCAAAACATCTGAGCCATGTGTATCTGGAAGTGAAGAGAAAGCAACAATAATTTGCATTTATATAATGCCCTTCATATAGGGTAGAGTCTTGAAGTGCTTTACCAATGGTGGAGCTTGACACTGAGCCTGGGCGAGAGGGAATGTGACAATAGGAACAGTCGAAGAGGAAAGTTTTTGTGCTCAGTCATGTTTGTATGATCCTGGTGAGTTGTTTGAAGAGGACAACTGGAGAGTTAGGAGTGGGTGCCCACAAGAAATATGTGCCCTCCTATCATGGAGGAAAAACGTTTTTGGGTTAGACTACAGTTTAGCTTTTTTTAGGTTGTGTTTCTTATCGTGGACAATTTAAGTAACGTTGAATACGTTAAAAGGTATTGTGATTCTTTTTACAGCATGCCTGATATGAGGCTGGAAATGTTGTTATGAAGCTCCCATCTCTGGGTTTAACCTTTTTTAAAAAAGTGAATTCAATTTTGTGGCTGTTGAATGAACAGTCTGGATCCTCATGTTTATATTGGGTATTTAGATAAAATACTACATTTCCTGTCAGTCATGATGGATTCACTGTCTACTTATGTAGTATACAAAAATATTCCAATTAAAGCTGCAGTGCCTTCAGAATGTTATTTGAATCTGAATCATTGGCACATCCCACATTCATATCTTTATAAGTTTTACTGTACAGATGATTGAAATTAAAAGGCAGCTTTCTCTTAATTTAACTTCTTCAGTTCTCCATTTTCTAGTCGCAAAGGCAACCTGTAGTTTTAGAAACTCGTAAGAAATAACTGGTAAGAAGGGAAATGGTTGGGTTTCTCATGATCTATCCCACCAGTTCAGATAAAAATGTACAATGCGTGTGTGTGTGTGTATATATATATATATATAAATATATAATATCCCGTTTTCAACTCTTCAAACTTCACGAGAGTAAAGCCAGAAAAATGAAAATCAAATATAGTGCAACTTTATCTGATTATTCATGGAAATGTAATTAAACATAAAAGAAACTGGGATAGTTACTACCCAAAGCTAAACCTATGTTAGAAATAATCTAGCTTGATAAATAAAGGACTGTAATGCAGAAAATTATTGTTTGAGATGAATCTCTTATAAATCTTTAAACTTGATTCTGGAAGCCATTATTATAATTGGATTGATTCTATTATCAAAGGCTTTTGGAATTTGTGCATTTCAGTCACAAGTATCTTAAGTCTTTCTTATAACCAAAGTGTTTTTTATATTTAACTTGTTGGCTTTTTACGAAATTTATTTGGGGTTTTATTCTTAAACTTCTTTTTTAATGTTAAATGTTCAGATGGAAAATTCTTAAGCATTTTGCCAGCATCTACTTAGAGGTTTTATAGATGTTGGTTCTGACAATGTGGTGAAGTAGTTTCAGATCTTTGATGCCAAGGTTAATAAAATTCTGATAAATCAGGTCTTACTTGCCAATTTCAGTTCAACTAAGTCACTGTGCAACTGTGAGGCCATGTGATTAATCTTGCACACAGATTGTATTCTGAATTTAAGTTTAAGTCTTGCTTTCTGTTGTAAATTAGAAGAATCAAAATAGCAATTATAAATTCTACCAAATGCATTTCTATGCCTGTTGGCATCCATTTCTATGCCTGTTGGCATACTAAATATTTTTTAATCCATGTAGACATTCACTTCGTACTGAAGTTATAGTACACGTTAGTTTATGTTCATGCTGCTGCATATGTATGAGTATACAGGCATTCCAAGGATTACAGATTTATTCCACATGTGCAAGGTTGCAGGGCATTTTGCGTGAAAAGGTAATTGTTGCTTGTGGTGTTTCGGGAGCACTTAATGTTGAACCTATTGATCACTACATGTACCTGAAAATTATAAGCAGATAAATTTGAAAGCCACTTGTATGATGCTAAAAGTAATGAACATTGAGCCCCAGTAAGTGAAGCATCCGTGTTAATGATCAGTTAGGTGTACGTCTACAATATTAGTTTGTGAACCCATTAGACCACCCATGAATATGGTAAAGATTATTTTGAAGTGAGCTGGAATTGATTCGCATCCAGTGTGTTGATAATGTGGAGGTGCAAATCATACACTGTTAAAGCACCTCCACAAACAAATCCTGCTGTTTAATCCCCAAATTATATTGCAATTTGTGTGCCTGCAAACATCTTAGTACAAACAGCGCATCAGGGAGAATGCTGAGCACATTACTGAGAAAGACTAATTCTGTGAGAAGAAATGGGGTGAATCAAATGCTGTCTTAAAGTTCTTTCCATTTTTTAAATGCACAAATGATGTAGTCATTCTTGTAACTGGAATATGGGCTAGTGAATTGCATTATTGGTCTTCCAAGATCAGTGGCGGAGGCAGGCTGTGAGTAATTTGTTTTGGTTGAATTTGTCATTATATTATGGAGGCAGATCGATTGGTGTTAAGAGTAAATACTTTTCTTTTGTCATCCAATATAACTTCACATATGGGAGACTAATGCTCACCATATCAAGAATAAGTGAGGGAGGTTTGACAAATTTTGGTTGCCATTCCTTTGGGCTACAATTTGTATATGATCTGATGCACTATTTCTGATAGTGTAATCATTTCACTCTGCAATGTGATTATGCTGCAGTGTTATATAACATTGCACTGACATTCTGCAATGTTTATCAAATGCTGTGCTGTTTGAAGGTGGAATAAGTTTCTAGTTAGACTTTGTCTCGTGGCTTCACATGAGTTTCTAGATTTGGAATATTAATGAATAAGCCAATTCAGCATACAGAAGTAAAATTTGCATGATCCACATATATGGTAGTCATTCAATTAAAACAATTAGGTTAGGTTATTTATAGAATAAACCTAATATTATATTAGTAGTTCACTTAAATACATTCATTTTGCACATGCAATTAGACAGGACTCTATGGTAATCTATTTAACGGTGTATTTGAATATCTTCATTGTGTGTATAATATCTGATAACTACTTTTCACTTTTTTTGCAGGCTTGTATAGATGACAATTTGGATATGGTGAAATTCCTTGTGGAACATGGTGCAAATATTAATCAGCCAGATAATGAGGGCTGGATTCCTCTCCATGCAGCTGCCTCCTGTGGATATGTAGACATAGCAGAGTAAGTACACATCTGCACAGTTCTCTTTGCATGCTTCAGATTAACTCGTGTTTCCCCTCTAAAAGTTTCCTTTTCAGTCAGAGGAACAGGTTTTTGCTGTCAGATCTACAGAAGTTTGATGCAATTTTGGTGCCTTTTCTTTTTCTTCCCTGGCCTCCACTTATCAAATCTATGTGATCAGCACATTTGAGATCGAAAGGTCAATGTGGGGAATAAGCTTTGCTCCATGTATCTGCTTGGCAAGAAACTCAACCTCTCCAATGTTGCTCTGAATTTGTTACATTTCTATTACGTTGCACGTGATGAGGAATGTGATCTTATTGTATCTGGTGTACAACAAAAACTACTCGGATTTATGTAGCGCCTTTCATGCAGAGTAGCATCTCTGAGTACTGATATAGTCAACCTTCTTGGTTTAAAATGTTCTATTTGATTAGTATTTTAGTTTTACACACCAAGTAGGAAATACCAATTGATTGGAATTCTGGTTTTTGAGTTACCTATAATGGTACTGATAAAGGACTAAAAAATGCTCTAATATTTGATATGTCATAAGAGGATTTGAGTCGCTGTCTAGAAAATTCTCGTTAGTGGTGAAATTTAGTTATCCTCTTATCAGTAATTTATAAAGTTAATAGAACTGTCCCAAAGCAAAACTGAAGTCTTTTCAAGCAACACGACTTCAAGACGCACCACAATTTGCAATCCAGTTATGTGATAGTGGTGGTAGGTTTCCTTCTGCCTCATGACCTTATTGATCATGTCCTTGACTCTAGCTTTCAGGATCTAAATTGTGATCTGATGATTCTGGGAATGTTTTCTCCGCAGCCCCACAGAAGTGACCCATGGGGTTTGGGGTATCAGGTCTCACCAAATTTAACTTCTGGTCAGATTGCATTCATTCAATGTGATTCCCAGAAGTGTCTTGGTCATACAGCATTTTACAGTCTGTCAAAATCAGTGAACCTTCTCATACAGAACAAGACACATATGACGTGGCTTTTTCTCTATCACCCTCCCCTCCAACCCAGGTTTACATTTTTACTCAGCAGTTCATAATTCTTGTCAGCCTTTTAGGACAATGGATTTGTTTAAAATTATGTTAAATTATCTCCCCAGACTTCAGTTTAGGTCCAGAAAGGCATGCTCTTTGAAATAGTCATGACCACAATGAAGGTTTTGGAATAAAACACAGTTGATTGTCTTTTCCTGATAACCTGGTTCTTTAGCTGACCAGTTTTTAAAAATCATCCAGTTGTTGTAGTTTTGAAATACTGATACAATATAACGAAATACTTATAGGCAAGTGAGATTGTTTTCATATTTGGTTTACTGACTGACGTTTGATTATGTTATTACAGTGGTTGTTAGTGTGGCAGTTCAAGACCAGTTTATTTGGGGATAAATCATGATCTGAAGTCCACTGGTTACTTTCAGGCCGTTAGGAAGAGCTGGATTTATTCTTCTGTATAAGATTATGCAGATAAGTGGGGAATAGCACCAATGTTGTCTCCCTAAGATATTAATACATTATGGTTTAAGTCCAATCTCAAGGAGCATTTGTTCTATATTTCGATTGCCATTCCTGTGAGTTTTCTGTTTAAAAGAAACAAATCTTAGTGCCTGGTATTGTGATTCCCCCATCTATTGAATATATTTAAAACATGGTGAGTTCCATTCGCTGCTAAATACATTTTGATATACATTATGGCTGTTCAACAAAAATGCTATTTTAGCTCTGTAAATTGAGCAATTTAACAAATGGGAAGTTGCATTGTACTGCACTGGAGAACCTGCCAAAAAGTTGGAACCAGATTTCCACTCCTTTACCCAAGAGTTGAGATAGACATTACTGAACACTGCGTGAAGATTATTTTTCCCCCCAAGAAGTACAAGTGCTGATAGTTGAAAACAAAGCACGAGTTACAGTCGTAGAATATTTGCAACACAGAGAAGGTCATTCAGTCCATCATGACTCCAATATTGGAGTTCCCATAGAGCATTCTATTCTAATGCCATTCCACTGTCTAAATAACACATCGCATTCCCTTCATCTTTCAGCAAAAATATCTTTGAATTATGGTGTGCCTTTAATAGGATATAGTCGTCCCACTTATGGTTTATCAAAACAACCCAGGAAAAGTCCACAATGACATTTTTTAAGATATTGTTTGTGTAAAAGATGATGACAGTCTGAAGGAGAACAGTTCCCATTGACACTATTACTCTTGATACCGTACAAGCTATCTCAATAGTGTTTTAATCCAGCACCATTATGGTTTTACTTCTGCAGACATATACAGTTTGGTTGTTCGTTTTCTCAAATACAGTATTGACATATTTCCAACAGATCAATGTTTGCATTTATTGTGTATAAAACTAAGTATTTGCCAATCACTTAAATTTCAATCTTAGGTGTTCATGGGTAGACTTGTCTTCAATCCAGAAATGAGTCGCTCAGACTTGGCAATGCAAATTTTTAAACAAGCAAATTTTTAAAGAAACAAATTGTGCTTTGATGGCATGATATTAAATTGTATTGCCAATTCTAAACTTGTTTGTAAACTTAACTTTGAAGACGCTTCAATTTGCTACACTTCACAAAGTTTTACAGAAGGCCTGTATCTAAATGAGTGATGGAATCCTATCCTTGAGGTGAAGTAGGACGAGATGGTGTTTGATGAGAGCAAACATTGTAATTAGTGGCATTTGGTATGCAAATTAGATAGTGTTGGGTCTCAAAAATAACTTAAGACTTGGAGTGAATTTTAGCTAACTTTAGACTTGTATTTTAACCTCTTGAATGATATTGTGTTCATCCAATTTTGAGCACGGAATGTTTCGATAATCCAGTTTTTAACACCCATCCAAATTAACGGTGGATGACATCAATAGTTTTAGGTGCAGTATATACAATGCAAAATTCTCGGACATTTGTAAACTTTACGAATAACAAATCAAAGTTTGCAAATCCCTCATTAAGACCCTAAATGGTTACGCGTTGAATGATTTTGGATGTTCAGTTTCGGCCAAGAAGAATTGCAAAGTGACATAACTTTTTAAATACATAGTTGTGGCATTGAACAGTCATTTCCACTTGAAATGCATGAGAATATGGCGGTCTGGTTCCTACAAATGTGCTGTAATTTCTCTCAACTGTTCATCACAATGGAATGTCGGAATCAAGTCAGCCCTCTGTGGGGGTATTGGTAGTCCGGTTTCTTAGCCAAGTGGGTCCGCAGTGTTCCAATGTACTGCTGGTGGCATGGTTCATTGGTGGGACTTGCAAGGGCAGACGAGTCACTGGAGGCAGGGAATCTTTGCACTCAGCTCCAGTTAGACCTGCCAGGCAAAGCCCTGATGAATAGGGTGGTCCTTTCCGGACAAGCAGCGGGAAAGCCAATCTATGTGGTTTTAGCTGGTTAGACTCCAGCAGGACTCCAATGCACAGTCTGGAGTCCCCAAGCCTTGGCTCTTGCCAACCTGCATCTAATACGTTCTGGATTTAAGTAAGCAGGATGCATCCCTCCAGGAGACAGTGTGCATTCCATTCCAACAATCTATTGTGGGGATTTCCTTGTGGAGGTGGATGCATGGAATTCTCAGTTTGTTTTAGATGCTCTTAAGCATAGTGATAGGTTTCTGCACGTGGCTGACCAAAAAAAACCTTGATCAAAACAAGCTAGCTCTTCATTGTATGAGAGTTCCTAACTCTTCCCTCTACAAGCTGCAGGTTATTCAGACCACTGCAGCACTCCTGCACCAAACTGCATGAGCCATCTACCCCATTCTTGCCTGGCTTCACTGGCTCCTCATCCCCAGAGGATTGAGTTTAAGATCTTCGTCATCACCTTCAAAGCCCTCCACGGTCTTGTTCCTCCCTACCACTGCGACCTACTAACATCTTAACCTTCCACTCAGTAGGCACTCCGAGCCTCCTCTGTGTCCGCCCCACCCTTGTTGGTTGGGGCTTCAACCTTTCTGCCCCCACACTCTGGAATTCCATCCCAGAATTGTTTTGCCTTTTTCCCTTGCCTCTTTCAAGGCATGTCACAAGGTGTCTTCCTTTTGGACTGTGCCTTCGGTCATCCTCCCACCACCATCCCCTTCAGCCCCCATCCCTCCTGATTCCACCCCCAGCTCAAGTGAAAATCCTTGATTGTCCAGCACCTTGGGATGTCATCCTGATGTGAAAGACTGACTATGTGTAAAATTTGTTCTTGTATGGTTAAGTTGCCACACTGATGTATTTACATACTGACCCATTGGGGAACCTGTGAATCTAGGCTTTTAAAAGAAGTGATTACTTAATTATTCATATGAACATAGTTTTATTTGATTTGCAGTTTCATTTCCAGTGATAAAAGTTAAGCTTACAGAATGCATTGGATCCTCATGAGTCCACTGCAAATCTATGTTGAAGTAACCCTCAATTCAGGAAAAAATTAATTATAACACGGTTCAAATACTAGTTTCATCAATACATTGTGCATGTGGGTACTGAACTAATTGTGAGTTGTCAGTAGACTATAGCTGAGAGTACAATTATTTTGTCAGGATATTTCTAGTATGAATTGGAATGAAATCTTGTATCTATAATCTGTATTTTGTTCTGGTATCCACATTAAGTGTCCTTTGGTCTTCAAAAACGACAGACTTTAGAAAACAATTATGCAGATTATACAATCATTTCTGTTTGGCAGACAAATTCATAGAGTAGGCTGACACCTTCTACATGTTATCATGTGGAGTGACTCGTGTGTTGAAAGATTTGATGGATTTACTTGTTAGACTCAAATCCAGCTGTAAAAATGGGTACATGCCACAGAAATCTCTGCATTTCACCTACAAAGACGAGAAACTCTTTAGTATTGTATCCTAGCTTTTTCTCACCATTCTTCTCCCTCTTACTAGCACCTCTCAATCTCTTCTCTCTCCAACCTTCCTTTCTCTTTACCCCACTCCCCCATTCTGATGGGATCTCATCAGAAGACTGCATTCTTCTAGTTCTTATCTCAGCCAAGAGAGTTGGTGAACTTGAGGCAAATATTTAGAGTGTTTTAGTTATTAAAGACTCTTACCTTATTTAGCACAAGAATAAAGCAGCTTATTCACATCCTAAAATGGTATTGGGATCTGTGCGACTTGTGGTTGTTCATCTTATCTATTGAAATTTATTTTTACAATGTCGGTGTTTAAAAGGGCCTTTACCTTCAGTCAAAAAGAATCAAATGGCCTTCAAGAAACCTTTAAAGGCAAGAGTGTATAATAATAATAATCTTTGCATTTGATATAGCGCTTTTCACATCTTCTAGACGTCTCAAAGCGCTTTACAGAATATACTGTAAAGTGAATTGACTGTATATTTGTGGGCGAACACGGCAGCCAATTGCGCACAGCAATGTTCCACAAACAGTCGTAGATTGAAAATGACCAATTTATTATTTTTTTTTGGAGGGATTATTATTAGGCTCTGTGTGGAGTAAGGAAACTTGCCCAAGGTTTCGCCCTGACCTGCCTGGAATTGAACTCAGGTCTCTCGCTTGCAAAGCGAGTGCTCTAACCACTGAGCTACAGGACTCCGGATAAGATGACTAAAACAGTTGCATTTTTTGTTTTAATTATGGGACATTTGAGTATTAACAGCAAAGCAATTATTTTTACAATACATAGATTTAGCCATATTTGAAGTATTACAAGCAGATTTGGAAACCCAGTTTCAGAAAGTATATTGGTCATGGTGAGGATTCAGTGGATTTTCACTATAGTGATGCTAGAAAGAAGAGGATATAATAATTAGGAGAGCCTGGAACAATTGGGACTTTTTCACTCTAATGCAGGAGCCTAAGGTGAGAATCTAATGGGTTTTCAAATTCTTGAATGCTTTTAATCAAATAACTGGAGGCACAGTTTTTTACTGACTGGCAATCCAGTAACAAAAGGCTATTACTTTGAGGTTTATAAATAGAAGAAAGACACCAGCCAGAAGATGGCCAAATATGGCCAAACCTGTGTGCAGAGTAACCCTGTTATGAGGCACCGTGCTAGAGTCTGAGTCTGCTTACAATACAGGTGCTCAGTGGACCTGTGGTTACTGGCACATACTCCCCCGGCATCTTACAAGCAGGAAGCCGGCTGGTCAGCCACTAGTGCTTTCTGTTTTTAGTGCAAGATGTCAGAAGTGTCCTGAGACCCAGAAATGGGATCAGTGCTATTTTTTTCTACCAGACCAGTTATAATACTGCACCAGTAATTTTATGCACCCATAAAGGGTTGCCCTTGTGCTTTTTTTTTCAGTGTCTATTTTATGTTTTATACAGAGAGCTGTTCAAATATTGAATGGTTTATGATAATATTTGCATTTGATATAGCGCCTTATCACATTGCTGAGATGTCTCAAAGAGCTTCGCAGAAATCTACTGTAAAGTGAATTGACTGTATTTTGCGGGTGAAAAACGGCAGCCAATTGCGCCCAGCACTGTCCCATAATAAACAGCCATGGATTGATTGACCAAATCATGTATTTATTTATTTATTTATTTATTTGGGGCAAGTTGAGGGATCCACCAATCGACTAACAGCCAGGTTCCTACTTACTACTAGGTAAACAGACGAGTCTGGAGTAAGGAAACTTGCCTAAAGTTTCGCTCTGCCTGGGAATCAAACCCGGGTCCTCCCGTTTGCGAGGAGAGTGCTCAAATCAATATGCTACAGGACACCATGGGTATTGAAACCCATTCCAGTGCCACAGACGCGATGGGCTGAGCGACCTTTCTATGATTCTTAATTTCCCTTCCTCTTTCCCTAAACCTCCTGTGCCCCCTTTTCCATGGATGATTTGTCACCATTTTGTCCTATTAGCATTTTAGTTAAGTTTGCAGTTGACTTGGTTCTTGGAATCTTTATTGTGGTGATTAGGATGTCCAAGCTCATTTGCTCTAGGTAAGGTTTAGTTCTGGTTCTGCTAGGAAGCACAGCTCCAGCTCAAATAGGGAATTGAGTGCAATCAACATGCAGTCTGGAATATTCTGTGTTGCCTTGTATAGCTCGGGAGCTGATTACAAGAATTCCAGAATTAGCCCTAGGCTTACACAAGCTGTGGGAACTGCAGTCAGCCTGGTGACACCTGATACTGTCTGTGAGTGAGTGATGAGGAAAACCAATTCCCCTCTTTTTCACTCTTTTCCCCCCCCTCTCATTCACTCCTTTATTCTCCCCTCCCTCCCTGGTATAAAGCAGAGGATTAATAAGTGTGAAAATAAGCACATTTGGTCAGTTATGAAGAAAGGAAGGTTTATTAAAAGGGAGGAGGCACGTAGCGCAATATGATTCATTAACAAAAATGCTAGCACCTAGATAAGTATTTAAGTTGGATGTTGGAACATCAGTGGATTGCTGGAAAGAGGGTGGTGTGGGAAGTGTCAGTTGCTGATTGGTTTATAAGTAGGATTTACACAAATTCATGTTACATAACTGTAAAATCTGTGCAATGTTTGGAAAATATGTTGCAAAAGGTAGAAGTTTTATCATGAAACCAGGAAGCTTTAGGTTTTATTTCAATATAGTGTAAAAAAAACTGGATTTTTTGTTTTACCTGCAGCTTATGCTCCCTAAAGAATCTAATATTTTAACCTTGAATTAATAGGATAATTTTTTTCTGTCCAAAAAGTGTTCTTTTTATAATCAAATCAGAATGGAAACCTTAGTTAAATAATGGCAATAACATTCTTTACTTTTCACAGAAATGTGAGAGAGCCAAGATTAATATTTTTAAACGTAATTTTGCAGGTATCTAATTAGTCATGAAGCAAATGTAGCGGCAGTGAACAGTGAAGGAGAAACTCCGTTAGATATAGCTGAAGAAGAATCAATGGAAGAGCTCCTGCGGGAAGAAATTAATAGGCAAGGTAAGAAAATGGGGAATAATGGACCACCAAGCATTGTTACTGCAGCTGGTGCTGATCACATAGTACCCTCTGTATGGATTACTTTCAGTATATGAGGCATTTAATGTAATTTTTAACAATAAATGTTTTTGAACTATAATCAGACATTCAAATAGGAAAGTAACATCTGTCCTTTCCAATAACGCATGAAAGTGCCATTCTGCTTTGCACTTAAGCTGCTAGTTTTGCTCCTGCTATCTGCATTTGTTGCACTGAGATTTGCCGACTTGCACGAACAGCCTGCTCATCAACTTTGCAGCTGTGTTCAAGCATTTTATGCTAAAACTTATAGTTCCCTGGAATTTTGATTTATTTTGGGTTTAAACTTTGCCTCTAGTTTAGGTCATTTTTGTGGCATGATTCATCATGCTCAATATCGTTTAGTGTATCACCTCCGTGGCAAATTTGCCTCGTCCAAATTCTGGGTTTCCAGAAGTGTATTACCTTGGGATGATTTTTAAGTTGAAATGACACATAGCCAACATGTTTGGAAGAACAAAATGAAAGTTTGGGGGTGAAGCTTCATGGTTCCAATTGTTATCTTCCTCTGTTTTTATCAGTCTAGCAAATTGAGCACATTGAATACTCTTCAATGGGTTCTGCAACTGAGGGGACCCTCTTCTCATGAATCGAGGGCACCACATTCAGCTAACATTTTAGTTTGCCTCAGAGCAATTCACTTGGACTCTTTCCCCTGAATGCAAGTGCCGTGGACCATATTCCACTTTATCCTCTTTTTGGTGAAGTAGGACATGTTCAGGCTCATCACTAAACTTTGTGCTGAAATACCTCCTGCAGTTAAGATTAGCTCTTGTACAAGGATATGTATTTTGGACAAAGTGACCAATGTCACGTCGCATAAGGAGATGGAAAGACATTTCTCTGTTTTTCTTTAAATATATTTTCACATGTCATGTGGTATGGTAACATGAAAAAAAGCCATTGCTTGCATTGTTTATTAATATTAATATTATTGCAGGTGGATGCAAGTAAATAATTAGTTTTCTAAGAATGTTTAGTTTTTAATCTATAATCAGACTTAAAAAGAGTTTTTTTGTACCAGAGCCTCTTTAAACATTCAACAACCAAACCTTTTTAACAAGGCAGTTGTTTTATACCGTTTGTGCTGCTTTGACATTTTTAATGTGTGGATCGTTTTGCGTTTTGTATTTATTCAGTTTCTATTAACAATCTTATATAATGCCAGCGTTTGGTACATTTAGATTTCAGTGTTTCCTTCATTTAAACATTTTGTGTAGTCAACAAAAGTACATAATTTTCTGTAAGTGCACCTAAAGTGACCATTTCATACTGCTGAGCTGGGATCTGTTTTTTTTTGCTGATGAAATAGGAGTATATGTTTCAATTTTGACCTTTATTTCAGAATAATCAGAAATTTGGGCTCAGTAATAAACTCGTCGCAGAATTTCACTAAGATACAGGGAACAAGTTAAAATGTTTCAGTCCTTTGAAAAGTGTACGTTCCAGAGATGGTAGACAGGCAGAACTATGCACTTTAGTTTGTGACCTGAATGTATGTATCTGTGTGTGTGTGTATGTATATTTGATAGTATAATGTAATATATATACAATAGTATGTCCAATAATCCCTCCTAAAAATGGTCTTTCGCTTCATGGTTGTTTGCAGGGCATTGATATGTGAAAATTTACCTACAATTACACAATAATAATAATCCTTGCATTTGATATAGCGCTCTTTACGTCTTCTAGACGTCTCAAAGCGCTTCACAGAATATGCTCTAAAGTGAATTGACTGTATATTTGTGGGCGAAACGCGGCAGCCAATTGCACACAGCAGCGTCCCCACAAGCAGTTGTGGATTGAAAATGACCAATTTATTATTACTGTTTTTGTTTTGGAGGGATTATTATTAGGCGTGTGGAGTAAGGAAACTTGCCCAAGGTTTCGCCCTCTGCCTGGAATTGAACCCAGGTATCTCGCTTGCAAGGCGAGTGCTCTAACCACTGAGCTACAGGACTCCAATCACTATACTTTACAAAAACTATGAAAAACTGATGTTTTGAAGTGATAAGGCATGATGTCAAATGCAAGGATTATTATATTTATCTGGAGTGCATTAGGCATGTGGAGCCTGACACTTCACATAATGAATGAACAACAACTTGCAATAGCACACCTTTCACGTAAAAATACATTTCTCCGAGCACTTTACAAAATCTAATTCATAAGGTATTAAGCAAATGTTATAATTGAATCAAGTGCAGGTAATTTGTGCCAGCAATGACCCACAAAAGCAGTCAGATGAGTAGTAAATTAATTTCAATTTAGGATGAGAAGGGGAATGCAAGCTATTTCTTTGAAGTAGTAATGGCACATGGCCCCTTTACCTGAATCATGAGACAAACGGGGCCTAATTTGAATAACTTAATGCAAGAATGTAATGTTCTAAGCTCTGCTTCCAACTGAAGGCTGTACTCCTGTAATGATTTAGCATTATTAACATTGTCTCTTCTGCTGAAGATCTCTAATCTGTTTCTTGATGGGCATATTAAATAAGATGAATAAAGGACATAAAATATAAGAAATAAATTAACCAGAAAACCACATTGAAAGTGAAAACATTTTTTAAAAAAAAGTTTTTAAAAAAAACTTCACAAACTAGTTGTGCTGGGTGAGTGACAATTTTGTGGATTTAACATATTTTTAAATAAACTTTCTGTAAGCATAATTTTTATATCAGAACCAACCCTTAATTAAGGTTGAAACTCATTTGAGTGCATATGCTAATCAACTTTGTGAAATGTAGGTTTCCATTATTCAAAACTGTTCATTTTTAAACAATAGTGTAGTACTAGGTTTGGTTCTAATGTCATACCTGATCTTAGTTACACCTGATTGTCCTTATCATAATGAAATTGTAAAGTTCACTTTCATAAAGCAATGCCTACTAAAATAGCAGTGAGCAACATTGCCCTCTTCAGGCAAGTCTCCTTGGAAGTGTTCGCTTTTAGTTTCTAAGGTAATTACGTCATTGACGATAATCATTTACTTTTACTGAAATAGCAACAGCATTTTCAAATCGTGTAATGGAAATGTGAAATCAATAAACCTGTTTTCGTGAAAAGGCTTGGAATTATTGCGGCAAAACTACATTTTGCAAACCAACATTTATTTGTTCACCGGTTTTCATGTTCCAACATAATTTTGTAATCCTTCTGGGTAGTATAAGACATTGGCAAAATTAAAGATTTTTGCTGAGAAATATTTAACAGCATTGGAACAAGAGCTCCTAAGTTATTTGATCTGTTCAAGTCTATCCTCTTGTCTCATTAAGTCATATCAGCCATTTATAGTTTTAAATCCAGTTTCTTGCACTCCCATTGTATCTTTAGCTCACAAACCTATAATCTCCCTTTTGAGCACCTTGATTGAGTGTTTATTTATGGGCAGTGCATTTATCTTTTTTTCTTTTGCCTGTTAACCACTAGCTCTAATTTTAAGATTATGGTCTCCTGTTCTGGATTTGGCAACCAGAGGGATGAATTGTTCCCTGTCTACCTTGGTAATTTCCTTCAGTCTCTTGTGTTACACAACTCATCCAGATCATCATTTACCCTCTTCAACTCTAGGGAATGTAACACAAGGTTACCTAGTGCTTCATTTTAGCTAAATCTCATCATGTTGAGCATCATTTGGTTAATCATGGCTGTTGTCACCTTTCTAACAGAGGGTTTCCAAAACATGCTTATCAGACCTGCAGAATTTACCTCACTATTTGTGTTCTAAAAGGACCATTACTTTGAAAGCAATATCTTCAATTAATAAGACTGCTCTATTTAAGATTTCTGGCCAGACTGTAATCATCTTGGGAATCATATCTTTGGTTTCGAATTGTCACATTACATACCGTTCCCTTTTATCTTGTGTTTGTACTGGAAGTTGTTTACTGTACGAAAGCTCCTTTTATGTCTGTGTGCTTCTAAATATGTTTACTGTAGTGAGGCTCCTTTTATGTCCATGTGCCTCTAAATATGCTAACTTTGAATGTTAGTAAAGAATACATATATAAAACAATTTTATTAATCTTTTATTAAATTGGTTTGTTCATTAGGCGTGGATATAGAATCAGCTCGGAAAGAAGAAGAACGAATAATGCTTCGTGATGCACGACAGTGGTTAAACAGTGGGCAGATAAATGACGTTAGACACCCAAAATCTGGGGGAACAGCACTTCACGTAGCTGCAGCTAAGGGCTATACGGAGGTTTTAAAGTACGTATATAAAATTGCTAGATTGTCTATTTACTTATTCAAATGGTGAAGCCTAAATGCAAATACTGGACAACTAAAATTTATTTAAAATCCATCTGAAAATGTTATTTATCCATAATACTTGTTTCTTCTCACAGGCTTCTAATCCAGGCAGGGTATGATGTAAATATCAAGGATTATGATGGCTGGACACCACTTCATGCTTCTGCGCACTGGGGTAAAGCAGAAGCCTGCCGCATCCTAGTAGAACACTTCTGTGATATGGAGGCGATCAACAAAGTGGTTTGTTACCAGTTACATTTTGATAATGGCTGCAAGCTTATCAAAAATAAAATCAGCAAATTATCAAGTTATTGTAGATTTTTTGGGGCGAGACTGAAGAGGACGTGAAGGTAAAAGGGAATTTATAGGGTATCCATTGGCAAGTATTGTACCTCTCGACTTAGAATTCAGATATCAGATAAGTTGATTGAAATGAATGCTTCATGTGATGTTCCTATGGTTATTAGCAGCTATGATGTTGTATACTTTTCACTTAAAATACTTATAATCATTTTTCTTGCTAGCTCCACAGCCACCATTTTGATTTTATCACTTCCAAGTAGTTTTATCAAGTATCTGAGTTGTGTTAAAATCTGAAAATCTTTTAACATCATTGTACAGCATTCATCACAGCTATCGTAACATAGCAATGTTGTGTAGAGAACTGGTTCCCCAAAACATCTGCTGAGCGCCTAAACTTTCCACAGGGACAAACAGCTTTTGATGTTGCAGACGAAGATGTTCTTCGGTACTTAGAAGAGTTACACAAAAAGCAGTCTGTGGTGAGTTTTTAAAACTATTGAACTATGTTTGACTATTTACATATTTTTCAGGAGTGGGGATAGGCAGGAAAAGTCCTCAAATACAATTCTATAATTGCTTTATCATGAATATATCTGTAGCAGCAAATAAAGCAATCTACCCAATCTCCACACACCAATATAGCTCTTAAGTATTTACCATGGAGACTATATATGTTCTGTTAATACTGTAATACTGGAGTGGGTTCAGGGGATAAGGGAAAATACAACTTGAATTTATGTAAAGTTCTTCATGCAGGATAACGTCTTGGAGCACAGGGTTAAAATAAATAAAAGTTGCTAGTGAGACGCAAACCAAACGAAAGATTTTTTTAAAAAAATCTTGCACAAGGAGTTGGGAAGGTCACTGAATGACATGTAAACTTACCAAACTCTTAACCTCATTCAGTGTTCCCATGAGTAGGAATGTTACACAATACTCATGGGACATCCCACATAACTTCCCCTTTGCGGGGATGACTAGGAGTTTCTATTTAGGAAGAACATCCACTGGAGGGTGCTGTTTCTGGACATTGAGTGTGATTGTCACTCTCCTGGCTTCTCCCTACACCTGGCTCCTCCCTGCGGAGCCTGAAGACAGTTGACCTGTGTCATTGGGTTCTCATTTACCTAACCCCGATATCCCAGAAGCTCAGGTCAACTACGTTGTAATGTTAATACAGTAACGACGCTATGTTAGATTAAGATATCTGGTGAAAAAGGTGCTTCATTTGGGTGAGAAAAGTCAAAATGTGTCTGAGGTTTATTGGGTTGATGACTTTTCCCACCACAAATTTAGGCTCTTCATCATAATGTGTAGGTAGATGAGGATTTCCCCCTCTAAATGGATCTGCTTGAATTTATTTTTAGTGCTTTTGATGGCGGCAAATTAACTGTTTGAATTGTTTTCAATTCAAAAAAACTAGCTTTTTGGATATATATTCACCCAGGATTTAATTAAAAATGTATTAATATTAAACTTGTGTGATCTACTATAATAAGCTTTAGAAAATTGATACAGTATTAACAATTGTCATCCCTGCTGGTCATACTTTATTTCCACAGCTGCTCAGTGAGAAGCCAGCAACTAAATCACCACTTATTGAGTCAACTACAACATTGGAGAACAATCAACAAGTAAAGTTAGTTAAAAAGTAAGTATAAATGAGGTTTCTTTAGGAAATTGCATCATTTATCAACCTTTCCTTTTGTTCTTTTGAATGCTACAGTTTATGGATTGTAAAAGTTTGTTTACAAAATTTGATTTGATCTGTTAAACTCTTATCAGCAAAGAAGCACTACTGAATGAACAAAAGAACGCAGCCCACATAGAGGCTTTGGAACAGGAGAAAGTGGATGAAGAGGAAGAGGGCAAAAAAGATGACTCTAGCTGTTCCAGTGAGGAAGAAGAGGAGGAGGACTCAGAGTCTGAAGCCGAGTCAGGTATGCTGTTCAGCAGTTTGATTTTGTCTGCAAATTTAGACAAACTTGAATTGTTAGACCATCTGAAATTTCACTCTCACCAAGATGTCTACATCATGTGGAGTAACTTTGAAAATGCCTGATCAGATTGTTTTATATTTAAAAGTGAATTGCTTTTGGCAGTAATCTGATTTGGAATAAAAATGTATCAGTAAATTATAGTTGGATGAATGTCATGTTCTAGTTTTCTTGTAAGATGTGCAACTGACTAGAAGTTGCCAATCAGTTTATAGCAAATTGTATTACATAGTACTTTGTAGGATGACACTTACGCATTTATTTGTTCTTCATTCATAAATTTATTCTTTTTCAGAGAAAAGCAAACCTACAGTACCTGTAAATATTGTAAATCATACCAATAGTGGTAGTATACAGTCAGCATCAGTGGCTCCCTCAACTGTGTCTACAAACCAAGTTGCACCAACATCACCGGTTAAGAAGGTATGGACTATGAGCAAATTTGTACATTATATAACAAAAGGGGTAGCTCAGTAACACTTAACAATTTGTTAGAGATTTGAATCCCAACCTTTTTTTTAAACCTAAGTTTCAGCATCTTCTGTTGGGCAGGTTACTGTTAGAGGCAGTAGATGGGACACTAGAAGATGGGGATGCCTTTCTCCTGAGGGAAAGGCAAATACTGACCTGCATAAGTTAATTTTTTGTTAACAAATTTATGTAATGGTATTGATGGCAATGATGAAAGGTGTTGCATTCTGAGTATGAGTCAGTTCCTCATCGCTGCTGGCACTCAGCAGACCTGGTGTTCCTATGCTTTAGGGCTTAATCATAACGTGGCCAACTGTGGGTTCCTCTTTCTTTACCAGCATGCAAGAAGCTGTTTTTTTTCCCTCACCATCAGCAGAGTTTGATTGTACTTTATTCTGATCTAACTATAAGACCTGGTAATTGTTTTGTTCTTCCTGAGCAAAAACATCCACCTGCGAATGCAGAATGGTAAAAAGCAAGGAACTCATTTTCTGAGGAATGATCGGTCACTCGTACTCGTTGGTCATTTCCATCACTCACACTGTAAGATTCTGGGCACTAGCTCCCAAATGAGACCTGCTTAAACCCTGGCACAATATTAGTAACACCAGTTTAATGCCTTCAATAATTTTTGCTACCTTTGTGGCTGAAGGTAAAGCATTAGGCAGAGTCAGTGAGGGCCTTTGGGTGGTAAATCTGAATGGATACAAATATATATCGGTAACATTACATAATGGAATAATACCAAGTACTAAAGTATTAGTATTTCTGGCATTTCATGATATTTACGGTGATCCCATTTTATGGCACTTTGCTAAAGTGTAAGTCTGTGGACCCTCAGTAACCAGAAGCTAGAAATGCTTTTGAGAGTGGTCGTGGTGTTTTTTTCATGGACCTGTTATGACTGGGTCTAATTTTATAGACCCAAAACACTGCACAAAACAGGGTCACCCTGTATAGATATCAGTAAATCACAGTTTAAAGTTGCTTACAAGGGGCATAATTTCATACATAGGATTCCATATGTTATTGAAGCAGTTTGTGGTTCTTTATCACTGAATATTTTGAAATGGGCAGAATATTGAGTTGAAATTGTGTCAGCTGCTACACAAAGAGGACAGCTTCATACACAAGCAGCGTCTTGCCATTCTCTGATAGAAGACTAACAACCTGATTACAGTATTTTGGAGAAGATTAAAAACTGAAATGGTGTAATGCATTCTCAACATCTACAGCATTTCTTTGGCCTAGGTTTCTGTGTAGCCTGCTGAATAGGATACATTGTTCAGTCATTGTAAAAAAAATATTCTCCCTATTGATTGAAGTTCTCGATGGTGATGGAGTAATGTTTGCTGATTGCTTATGCGTGTATTTGGCTAGGGCTGGGTCCATTGTATAAAGAGTTTGTAAGCAGATGACGGATCCTGCTATCTCCATTTGGTACTGTTTAACGAATTTAGCTCCCCGAGGATACTCAGTGATGTATTTGTTTTGGTGGCCCAGCTAAATTGTTGTTTGTGTAGAAGTTGCTGAGTGAATATTGCTGTCAGTTTGTGCTGTGGACTCAAGGGTTTACCCATCCAGTCATGTAAGCTAAAGCAGAACCTGATTTCCTTGCCTCTTTAAATTGGACAGTCTTACAACAACTGTTGATGATAATTGAGAGGCATGTCAATCTGACAATAGTTGAACTTTTGAGCTGAACATGAAGAATCTGCTTCAAAGGAGCCATTACCTATAAAATATTCACTTCATTTATCAGTCATTTTGCAAAGCATTTGAGTTATTTATTTTTATGTGTACGGCTCTGTATAAGGGCACATTGTCAGTGTTGTAGATCTGTAAATTACCCATATGTTGCAATGAGTTGAGTTATTCTTTTCCTTTAAATAAGTTATTGATAAGGGATGTTTTTTAAAATTCCAAAATAATACCTGTATGTTCAAACAGTGGACCTTCAATTTTCCATCAGATAATCAAACGTTCTACAATATCTGGAATGTTTTAATTAGTAGTTTAGGGAGATTCAGTGCAAACTAGATTTCCTTCACATGGTTTATTCATAAGGTACCAGCAGTAACATTAGATAAAGCATTGATGTATTTGGTGAAATTTATATTTTAGTGACTAGCTTATCTTCATCATGGACAAATTTTGAGTTTGAAGATGTTAGAATGGTATTCAACTAATGAGGAACTTGTAATTTTGAAACCTTTCAGTACACGGTACAGAGAAATTCTTTAATGGACAGCTATCTGCAATCCAGACGACAATTTTGAAAGGCATAATAAATTTGGTCCAACTTGTGGTCCTAATTTGTTAAAGATCTGAAAGGTTGTAGATTCATGTTGGCGCTATTCATTAAACGCTATTTGTTTAATTACCTGCTGGATCCTGATCAACTTATCTCTGTGTGTGACAGACAGCCTAGCTTGATTGTCTGCCATTTTCTCATTATACTTTCTGTTTTAATTGGCTTCAGTATGAATTCATTACTCCAGTCATGCCTGTGGCGGATCCAGCATCTTGGCGTCAGGGCTTGCGCAAAACTGGCATTGTTCTTGTGCCTCAAAAGGGTGAAAAAGTTATGGTGAGCTGCCTTGTGTGAGCAGACGTGTGCAGTTTGACATTTAATGGTGAATCAGAGATATCCCACATCACTCTTGCATGTTGTGCTCACTTATTTTTATGTATTTTCAACAGAAGTAGTTCTGATGTGTGAATATTTGAGTAAAGATTTTGCGTTTTGTGTGTTTTGCGCACGTTTTGCTTCCTTTATTTTAATCTATTCTGGAAGCTGCATGAAAAATTATTAGGAAATTCATCCCATCAGTTTTTTAACCACTAATTGTTTTCTGTCTTTTGATTTTTTTTCCCCCCCTGTTGGCAGAACTGATACTGATGCAGCCATTGCATTTTCAGTGTTGTCTTGCAAAATGGTGTAGTATTAATAAGCCTTTGCCTTCATCAAACTGTTTGTTTGAAGGATTTAAAATGTGTAAAAGGTTAAGGATAGGGTAAAATAAATTGGATTAGGGTGAGTTTTATTCTGTTGGGTCATGTATTTAATTTGGGAGAAGATTTGGAAATGACCACTTTGCTGCAAATTATGATTAATCAGTTTCCTGTTTTTAATTTTTCAGTTAATGTTTTAGTGGTAAAATCTGTATTTATCTGATGAGAATTACATGGACAATATTGTATATTTGCAATAAATTGAAAATGTACAAATAAAGGGACAATGGAATTGTGAAAGTGTGAATTGTGTAGTGCTATACCTTTCATGTGCTCTATTATGTGAGCTATATAAGAACTATATTGATCAATTCCTATCCTCTTTGTGAAGGGAATGATTTTTATTCATTTGGTGTATGGGTTTTTAGAGATTCATGTGTTGGATGCTGTAAACACTTCAATGTACCATTGTAATGATCAGCTGAAACAAACGCACGCTGATTTACAAAATGCAAGTTGTCTTTTTTTGAAAATAGAATCCCAAGTGAGATTTTGTTTCCAAAGCCCTTTGGCAAAGGAACCATGGATTTGTATTTATTTAATAGTCATTTATATATATTATCCCACATGCCTAATAATAATCCCTCCAAAACAATAATAAATTGGTCATTTTCAATCCACGATTGTTTGTGGGACACTGCTGTGCGCAATTGGCTGCCGTGTTCGCCCACAAAAATACAGTCAAATCACTTTGCAGTATATTCTGTGAAGCGCTTTGAGACATCTAGAAGACGTGAAAAGCGCTATATCAAATGCAAGGATTATTATTATTGTCTTGTTGGAATTAGAATGATTTAAATCTAGCTAGCTGTGGGATCAGGATTGAATTCATTTGTGAAGAAATACTGTGCAGTCCTTGATCACTTCTGGATGGGATTGTAGGTGTTTTCTGTGTTTTCCTCACTGTGGAAATAGGAACTTTCTTAAAAAAGCATGTGGTTTTATTAAAACCTAGTAATTACTAATATCAGAATTGTTCCTTTCGATATTAATACTTTTGAGTTTGATATTACTCAGGCTGGTTGAGTATTACTATTGTCACCAATAGAGTTGGATAGTGTGTGACCACCTTTTATCAAGCCATCAAATACATACCTAATTTACACCATGATCGAAGATCAATAAGCAATATGATGCCACTTTAGTTTTCAATCTTTGTTTACAGTTTACCACTCCATTCACAAAACCTAAAGAGGAGGAGAAGAAGAGGAAAGACGATGAAGAGAAAAAAGATGCATCTCCAGCATCGTGGCGGTCAGGGCTGCGGAAGACTGGGAGCTATGGTGCATTGGCTGAGATTAGTGCTTCTAAAGAGGGACAGAAAGAGAGAGACCCTGTAGGTGTGATGCGTTCAGCCTCAAGTCCACGACTCTCATCCAGTTTAGATAACAAAGATAAGGTAACTAGCGTATATGTTATCTAATAGAATATGTTGTAGTCCGTTCGGTTTGGTATTGAGTTACCAGAGGAAAGTGGGATCTTAAATGAACAAATGAGGTGAAGTATGAAAGTTGGATTCAGTCCCCTCTTCATACCCAAATAATTAAATCTGAATCCATAATGCAAAAATATTTGAAGTTTTTAAAAAAAAATATTTAAGACCTCTGGAAAGTTCCAAGCCACTACCAGAGTAGCAATATGTTCTACTCTCCTCTATTGGAGACTTGCTCACTCCTCAGATTGACAAGATTGAGGAGTGTTTTTTTTGGGGGGGGGTGGAAGAGGAGCCAAGGCGGAGGGAAAAGACTGAGACCAGACGATCTGAAGACCAATTTGTACTAAGGACCAAAAATGCCAACTAAACTGAAACAATTTCTATTAATGTCACCAATGCACAGTAGAAATGCTTTACAGATCTAAGCAGTCACACATTTTCATTTCCATCTTTTTCCCAAGGAGAAGGATCAGAAAGGAACCAAATTTGCATATATTGCACCTACGATCCCATCAAGAAGACTGGCCAGTACATCTGATGTTGATGATCGAGAAACCAGGTGACATCCTGTTAAACTTGGTCATTGTATTGTTCATTTAAAGTATTTATTTCCGTGAATACTCAAATCATGATTGCTCCACAGAGATTCTGCTACTATTCTGACGCGATGTGGGTCTTACACAAGGCGACGGTGGGAAGATGATTTGAAGAAGAAAGAAGTAAATCATACTTCTACCCCTGAAGGATCTACATCACAAAATGCTGCTTTTACCAATTTACCTGTAGTGCCTAGTTATCAAAGAAGGTAATTGGAAGCTGTCAATGTGAGAATCGTGTCTAGCTGTTTGATTTATATGGGTTTTGTTGATATGGAAGGAAGAATAGGTAAAGCTTACAATTTTAATGCACTAAAATGAATAAACTATTTTTTCATTTCCTCCCATCCCATCACAAATTGCTTCTAGTGGTGCTCTGACTGAGCCACTTGTGAGTTCCATTTGTCTTGATTAAAGATATTTTGGGGGCTACTGTTAGATTATAGGCCAGGATCATGAACCTATGAAGTGATAATGTACTTAATTCTTCTCTCCATATGAATTTGAATGAGCCCATTGCTCAACAGAAAGAGACCAAAGTGTATCATTGGGTCTTCCATTTACTCCCTTGGATGATGAAATGCTTTCTTGGCATTTGTGTCAACAATTCCTGTGTGTTTTTTGAGTTCAGTGATGAATTGACATCTATTTTGAGTATTCTTACTATAATAATAATAAAAAATAATCCTTGCATTTGATATAGCACCGTACCACGTCGTTGAGACGTCTCATAAAGCGTTCCCAGAATATGTTGTAACGTGAAGCGACTGCATTTTGTGGGGGTGAAATGCAACGTGCATCTAAAAGACTAACTCAGTCATGGGCATATTGAAACTTTTATGTGCTAGATTTCTCCTTCTCAGAGTCTTTTTGAAGTGTTCTAGATTTCTCTTTTATACTCTTCCAAAAATTTTAATTGTAAAGCCTAGTGTCAATTTATCCTAGTCCCACGTACTGTAGGCTAACGCTAGCAAGCTTGCATTAAAGAGACTTTTAAGAGACATCAACAACAACAACATTTCATTTATAGAGCGCCTTTCACGTCGGGAGGATGTGAAAATAGGTCAGGACCCGAGCATTGGGGGGAAATGGTCAGGGTGAGGGGACGTGGAGCAGACCGGAGCCGGAGGAACGGAGGGTACGGGCAGCTAGGTAGGGGAATAGTAAGTCGGAGAGGTAGGAGGGAGCAAGGCCGTGAATGGCCTTGTAGGTGAGGATGAGGATCTTGAATTCGATCCTCTGGGGAATGAGGAGCCAGTGGAGGCGAGCAAGGGTGGGAGTGATGTGGTCGTGAAGCCTGGTGCGGGGCAGTACATGAGCTGCAGAGTTCTGAATGACCTGCAGCTTCTGGAAGGAGGTGCCGGGAAGGCCGGCGAGGAGAGAGTTCCCATAGTCCAGCCTTGAGGTGATAAAGGCGTGGACGAGTTTCAGCAGCGTGAGGGGTGAGGTAGTGCCGTAGTCTGGCGATATTCCGGAGGTGATGGAAGGATCAAGACCCTCATAACGTGAAAAGTGCTATATAAATGTAAAATGCTATTGTATAAGCAAAGAAGTCATTCTGTAATTTGAAAATCTTAATGTGTTTTATATTAGATGTGATTTTCAAGGAATTTGGATGTTCTTAGCCAAGTACCTCTGATGGGCAATATTCTGTGTACAGTTGCATCTTGCTCCTAAATGCATGGCTTCTGCTTTATGTCCGATGTCTTGCATTGTCTTGAACTACTTGTAAACTTAAGTGGTATAGTTTGAAGAAAATAGAGCAATGGTTAATGTTATCGTAAACCATGATTCTGTTAAAGTTGACCTGGCAAATTCTCAAGGAAAGGAACTTAAATATAATAACTTACAGTAGAAATCAGATTTCTAATAAGAAGTAACAATATCTGACAGCACCAAATGCTAGTTCTAAATCAGATTTGTGTTATGTAGCAAGCAAAGAAAGAAACGCCAACTTTTCATCAGTTAACAGCTGAAAGTCTGTAGAAATTTTCAAGTTTACTATGCAAATTTTCAGAACACATGTGTCACCATCTAATGCTAGAATGCTGGCATGTCTTTCAACCACAACAACAACAAAATTACATTTTTATAATGCCTTTTACGTCAGGAGGACATCCCAATATTGGAGAGAGAATTTAGTTGATTTTGATAACAGTGGATTTGCATTAAGTAATTTATATTACCAAAAGCTCTGTGGCAGCATTTGGAACACACTGTTGATTTTGCATATTGGCATTCATAGTCAAATATTGAAAAGCACTTGTTTAGTATTTAGCATTTGTTTAACTTGAATGCTTGCATACAATTTTTGGTTTGCGTTTCTGTGTGTTTTTTCAGTTGTGCGCATGATAGCATGTGTTTCTAATGCTTTTGTTCTCTTTTGCTCATTTTTTTTTGTTTTGATGATGTGCTCTCTTGCTTGGTATGCATGCAGTAATTCGTACCTGCTAGCAATAGGCAGAAGTAGCAGTGCCAGAGATCTGCCAGCCAACTCGTCCTCAGCCATCAGCTTGGATTCTACTAATTTTAAATCTAGGCACCCACCGTCAGCTCACTATTCATCTTACAACATCTACAAAAGGTATCATCCCAGCCTCTTTGAAAAGGCAGTTTTCTTACTTTTGCAAGAGTGCTTCCTGCTTTATGGTGCATGTGTGTGGTTGTTTGTGTTCTCTTTCAGAATATTGTGTTATCTTTGCTTCTGTTTTGACTAAGATACAGAATAACCATCATCAGCTTGGTCTCAGATAAAGCATTGCTTTCTGTATTGCTAGTATTTTCAAGTAATATTTTGGCACAGTGTCAGTTATACCTACCATCGTTTAAGTCTTCTCGGTTAAAATTGATACGGTAAGAAAAGTGTACTCTGACAAACATTTAGTTTTGTTCTTTACTCATTGGAGAAGAAAACAATTATTTATTTTGGGATTTCTAAGCTCTTGTAATACCTGTCTGAGTAAGGTATATTGAGAATGCTTCAGTCACATTGGCCCAGGTTTGTTGTCTTTATAACCTGGTCCTGGTGAATTGTCTACTGATTCATGACTGAGAGTATTTGTCCGGCAATGTGCTTTGGATTCTGGCCATTAGCTATAGATGTTCCACTGGGGTTGATGCATTATTCCATGTTTCATAATGAGGTTACCAAGGGCTGGGAGGAGGCGGATTTGTGGAGAGAGAAAGCGGCTTTGTTGAAACTTTCTCAACCAAAGCAGATTTACATGAGAGAAGAGAGTGACACTGGTTTTCTTGTTGAAAGTAATATTTGCACTTTTGCAAATGTTTCCTGCTCAATATATTTGAATTGTTTAATTCCACTTCCATTCCACTACTAGTGAACTTCGTCCGCAATTTGTATAAGTATCGTTCACTCTTCTAGTGAGCTGTTTTTTGGGGGGAGCATGTTGACTAATGAACTCGAGAAAATGTTCTTGGCTTAAAACTAGAGGAAATAAAAACTTTTTCTGGAAAGTTATGTTTCACACACAACTTCTCCATAGAGATGATGCCCAAACAATCAGTTATTCCTGCCGTTCATGATCTATGGCACAGGTGAACAATACTCCTCATAAAACATTTGAATACAGCATAGTTATACAGCAAAATCTTTAATAGCGCAACAAAAGCTTTAAAAGTACTCTATCTTTGGAGATTAGTCTTTTAAATTGTTGGTGTCATTAAAACAAATGTTTTGTTGATGTGCTTTCTTTTTCTTCAGTAGCTCTTTTGGTAAACGGAAAGAAGATCTCATCGGTCCTATTCCAAGTAACAAAACTTCAGCTACAACACTAACAACTGTTACCTCATCAAACAGCCTGCAATCTACCACTTCCACAAAGACTCCTGCCACCACGTCACTTAGCAGGTAAACATTCAAACAAAGTTTTAGGCTTTGCATTTTTTTTGTGTTTTTATGCTTTTTCTTTGTATGCCATAAGGATGCGGGGACTTAATTCATTGTACACTTGGACTCTTCCTTGTTAACTCTTGCATCCAAATTAAATACCAATGACTGGTTGTTATATAGTTCAGATTTGTATTACGAAGATCTGAACCAAATTTCCAGGACTTGCCCAAATATGGAGAGACAGTTCTAATGGAAGGAATGTTAAAACATTCAGGACATTGGTGAGTCCTGGAGGAAGCATATCATTTAGACGTTGAGCTGAGTTTGCCTTCCAGCTGCTAGACATTCATCTCTCCAGGTGCTTTGTGCTCCAAGCACAATACTGTACACAAGTACAACACTATGTGCATTATTTCCATGATGGTGGACTGTGAGAAAAAAAAACTGCAGTGGGTTTTGAAAAGGCCTCGGTTACTACCTAAGGGAAGCAGTAGCTTAGAATGTGATGGTGAGCCCTCGTGACTTGTAGCAACAAATGAGACCTGAATCAGAAAGATGTACGAAATACATTGCATCCACACAAATTCCACAACTTGCAATTCTTTCCTGATTGGTGAGCACAGGAAACAGGGCACACTAATTAGATAAGCATCCTATTACAGACTTTTTATTGGATAGTAACTTCCTCTCCACTACAAGTAAAGCTCCTGTAACATACATCCTACATAAAATGCCTCAAACTAGAGAAAGAAATAGCGGACATTATAAAGTTTGGTGGAGGGAAGAGGGAAAGAAGAGACTAGCAGGGACCACTGAAGCAGCTTTACAATTGGAATTCTCCAGTTACAATTTGATATTTTTAAAAAACAATGTTTATTCTAAATACTGAATGAAAACTTATAGGGCTGTTCAATTAAATAAACTGGAGAAATTAATCAGTCTAGTTTCCTAGCACTTTATCATGTCTCAGTAAATACATTTATTTGACTGATTTTTTTCTTTCACCCCACCCTCAAAAAGAACACTTTAGTTAATATAATTGAAAGGACTTCAAATATATGCTGGAAAATATTATTGGTTTCCAGAAATTTTAAATTTTGGCAACCAAGCTTCATTGATCAGTGAGAGATGGTAATGTTCAAACCCAATCCTTAAGTCATACAAAGTTTTGTTTCATTGCTTTGGTTTGTTTTAATTTCATGTTTGTTGAGCTTTGCTTATTTTCTTGTTTGTGTTGCTGCTTAATGTGCTGTAGTACCTCAAATCGGTTTTCGACGGGGGACAATGCTGAAAGAGAAAAAGAAAGTGTTCCTTCAGCGCTTGCTTCAACTGGCACTGGGTCAACAACAGAGGTCAGGGAGAGACGCAGGTGTGTAGTCTTGCTGCTAACATTGTTACTCAGCTTCAGGAGCTTGGTTGCAAAATTTAGAAACTTTCTGTGTTCCCAAATTAATAAGTACGCTTTACAATTTGTATACAGAAAAATTTAGAATAGTGGCACGCTCAAGAGGGAACACAAAGGTGTAATTTGCAATATTTGGATAATGTCCCACATCATCAGAGGCACAAAAGTTCTCGTGGTTATAAGATTTTAAATTTTTAAAAAAAAATTAAGATTCTGCAGAATTTTGCAAATTTCTTACTTTCTGTCTTATTTTCGAAATTTGCAGTTTTCTGGAGTACTTACATTCTTTGCAATCTCTGGAAATATACCCTTTTGAGTCTGTTTTACTCCAGTTGAAGGGTGTCCAAGGACTTCACTGAAGGATTGATGTCTGATTCAATCATTCAAGCTTTATCAAGGAACCAATCTTTCTAGGAATTGAGTCATTGTATATTACAATGCAGTTTAAGACTGTTCACACAGCTTCAGGGAAAAGTGGGGAGTTTGATATTCTTTCAGTGATAATATGCTGCATAACTAGTATTTGTTGTGGCCTATTTAATTTTGTTGCATTTGATCTTGGAAGTTTTTGCATGAAATTAAATTGGGGAGTTGAAGAAAATAAAAAGATTGACCAAAAAGGTCAATCTTTTTGTGTTCAATATAAGAATATCATTGTTTGTGACTTAACAAGGTTCTAACCTGCTTGTAAGGCTCAGATGATAAGTCATCTGAACCTAGAAAATGTAAGATTTGAACAAGACCATTGTATAACACGTAAGTACCCTATTTGTCTTTGGGAGCGTTCCCATTTGCATATTGCCCTTTAGCCTGCTGATCTTTATGTAACCTTCATTCACGGTATTTAGGTGAGGGAACAATATGATAGATTTGAGATATAATAGGATAACATTTACTTTATAACTTACTTTCTTTATAATTCTCTCAGTCTCTGTACAATGGAAGACAGTAGAAAATAGTGGAATAAAGTTTATTACAGATGAGAAAAATAGAAATGCTGAAAATCTGAAATAACCCCAGGAAATGCTGGAATCGCACAGCAGGTCATCTGAAAGAAAATGATGGTTTTGCGTGTATGATCCTTTACCTTTACCAAATGCAAGGATTATTATTTATTTATCTGACTTCTTGAATTGTCTGATGAGGAGGACACCTAAAAAAATAGCCTGTCTTTTTTAATTTTGAATGATTGCTTGTGTGTTTCTAGTTCTCTCAGAGATTCCAATTATTTCCTCTTTACATGTTAAGCCCACATTCCTCAATAGGGCATGTACAAAATAGTTTTGTTGCAGACAAAGGAAGGCAACGGCAGCAAGTTCGTTGGAATGTCAATGAAGAATACAATGTTAATTCCTTAAACTAGGACCACCTGGTATAGCATAGTTTATAGGTCCAACCACATGTCTAATGAACGTTTAAATCAAAGCTTTTTGCCATAGTGAACAGTCTGAGTACACTACAATCTTCAGTGACTCATCATAAATGCTATGCATAGAAGCAACTTATTTCAGTTTTCATGTAATAAGAGGAGCAGTATTATCTGAATTTCTCTTGTAATTTTGACCAGTTATCAAGGCAAATAAATGGTCACCATCACCTTCAGATGATCTGCATATTACATGTTAGTCTAATTCTCAAGGGTAGTTGACTGTCACACAGTTTTTTAGATATTGAGTAGAAACATTTTGTTATGAGTGTCTAACTACCTGTGAGATGGAATATATTTTTTAAGTTTTAACAGGAAAAGTTGATTTCACATTTCAAAAAAAAGCCTGAAATTGGAACTTTCTTTGCACTTGTTACAACAGTAAATTAAGCAAATATATAGAATGTTTGACTAACTTTCAATATTTTAAGCACCGTACATCTTATTCTCTGACCTTTTAAAATTAAAATATAATAGGTCATATTTAACCCCTGTCCGAGATGAAGAGTCTGAATCGCAAAGGAAAGCCAGATCCAGGCAAGCAAGGCAGTCAAGAAGATCAACTCAGGCAAGTTTTCATTGCTCACTTTTTTCACTTGGATTACAATTCATAGGTTATATATAAAGAAAGGTTCTGTATCAAATAGGATTATGATGAAACTGGATTTTTGTCTGAGGTTCAGTATTCATTCAAATTTTAAATCTCAAGCACTACTGCACGCATATTGTGATATTGAAAATTCCTATTGCTGATGTGCTCAAATATGTTCATTCAATCTGGTGACTCAACGCTCTTGCTGTTGCATGAAAAAGTCTGGTCTGCGTACTTTGGTGTGCATCTGATGTAAAATTCTATCAAAAAAAGTTTTTTTTTAAAATTACATTCATTGCTAAAAGACTTGGCACTTAAAAATGATTTGTTCATTTAGAATTGAATGTTAATTGCATTGTTTAAAAAAAAATGCTATGACCTAAGAGTGAATGGTGAATACAAATTATTGCAGGGTGTAACGCTGACAGACCTACAAGAAGCTGAAAAATCAATAGGTAGGAGCCGTGTAGATCGTCGAACTCGAGAACAAGAGGAGAAAGAAAAGGAGGAGAAGGAAAAACAAGACCGAGAAAAGCAGGAAGACAAGAAAGAAATGGAGTCACGAGATGATAGGCAAAGGTTCACTAGAAATTTTGAAGAGGTATTTTTAATATAAAAAACAAAGTTTCTCCCCCATCCCCTCAAAATCTTGTTTGCTTATACAGACTCGTGCTGGATTACATCTGTATGCTTGCCATTGATATATTTTTCATATGTGAGCTCAGAACGTTGAGCACTAGTAGCCTATGTGCAACTGTGGGGCTTTGCAACTGAATCCAAGTCTGTCCTCGCCTGCTCCATCCAGCAGCTCTGGCCTGTTACGGTGCTCCTATCATGATTTAGGTTCAGCGAACTCAGAAAACCGTGGAGGTCAAACCACGGAATCTTTGTGGTCTTTGTCTCAGACAACAGTGGAGCAGATTACTCGGAAGGGTGATTGAAGATAGGATGTTGGATTCATTAACCAATTTGTATAATCGGAAGGCAGTAGGGTGGGTGTTCTGGAACAATGAGATCAAATTATTTGAATAATTATTATTTGTCTGAATCTCTCTTGTGACCTTGTACATTTAGGTGGATTCAGCCACAGAACCATTGAAGATGTATCAGTTTTTTTTTCAGTCATTGCATAATGTTTGGAATGAAACATTTGGAGTGAAAATTAGTACCATGAATAAATTGAGATTCTGAATCAAAATGTCAATAATATCCATGAATAAGTGAGAAATAACATTTAAAAGCTGCTTTAAAAATAGATTTTAATAAGTATAAACAAGTAAAAAAAATGTAAATGTAAAATAGTTGCACAATCCAATCTTTTTCTATTTGTTTTAAGCCTTATCAACGCATCAGACCGATTACTACATCATCCTCAACTGCCCCAGTTTCTACTACCAGCAGCTCCATATATTCAGTGTCTCAGATAAATAGACCCAACAGTCTTATTGGTATTACGTCAGCTTACTCGCCATACTCCCGGAGCTCTCGAGATATTGATAAAGGTAACATCCAGCAGTTTGTGTGTATTCTTTAAAACAACCATTACAGGTGACTATAATGTGAATACAAGGCCCTACTTTCAATAGCACTTTCTTTTTTTGCAACAATAAGTAATTTATTAACACAGTATTTTGTCCACCAAGGATTACCCTACCTGTTGTAGCTTTCGCTCCTTTGTTCTAGGTATGTCTCTTTAGGGCCTGTTCAATCCCAGCCAGAGATGACATCTGAATGTCCCATGTTAGCAGGAACCCAATTCTTGTTTCGATAATTTTTCCCATAAACCCAGTTCCTTAATCAGTGTTTTGGCTGTAAAAGTGTATTCAAGTGTCAGAAATAATACTTAATACGACAGTAGTTTAAATCGAGAAATCAATTGGATGTGGATCAGTCCCTTTATAAAACTTGACAGCATTGCTAACATGCGTTGATTCACCTTTTTATTTTAATTCGATGGATGTGGAAATGGAGTTTATACACATACAGTAATTCACATAGACAAATATCAATCATTATTCACTAGAAGGAGAGAGGAAGGAAGATGAGAAAGACGGAGAAGAGAGATTGGATGAGAGGTCACAAAACAAACCATCAATAAGAGATCGGCGGCGGCCAAGGGAAAAACGGAGATCTACAGGAGTTTCTTATTGGACTCAGGATGTAAGTGCTTTATGTGTTCATGAAACTTTTACAGCAATATACTCATGAATATTCAAATACGCGCTTCCTTCTGAAACAAACCTGCATATTTCTTCTCTAGTTAGCACCAGTTCTTACTGTAACCTCCACACAGAAAGTTCTTATTTCTTGCCGAGCCTTTGGCGATTTGCATTTATAGGGGAAATCCCATTAGTGGCAGACATCGCTAAAGATGATGCACGTCTTACAATCAAGTTTTGTAAGACGTGCATCACCTGACAGCATCAGCATCCAAGGCTGCACTCCCCACCTCTCAAAGCCAGTCAGGAACCTTGGTGTTCTGTTCGACCCTGAGCTGTCCTTTCTTCCCCACATCCGCGCCACAACTGGCACTGCCTTCCACCACCTCCAGAACATCGCCAGACTATGGCACTACCTCACCCCTCGCGCTGCTGAAACTCTGGTCCACGCCATTATCACCTCAAGGCTGGACTATGGGAACTCTCTCCTCGCCGGCCTTCCCGGCCCTCCCTCCACAAGCTGCAGGTCAATCAGAACTCTGCAGCTCGTGTACTGTCCCGCACCAGGCTTCGGGACCACATCACTCCACCCTCGCTCGCCTCCACTGGCTCCCCATCCCCCAGAGGATCGAATTCAAGACCCTCATCCTCACCTACAAGGCCATGCACGGCCTCGCTCCCTCCTACCTCTCCGACCTACTATCCCCCTACCTACCTGCCCGTACCCTCCGTTCCTCTGGCTCCGGTCTGCTCCACATTCCCCGCCCTAACCGCCCTACCATCGGTGGTCGGGCCTTCAGCCTCTCAGCCCCCAGGCTCTGGAACTCCATCCCCCAGTGCCTTTGCCGCTTCCTCCCTTTCCTCCTTCAAGGCTGGTCTCAAGACCTTTCTCTTCAACCGTGCCTTCATCTCCCCTCTCGACTCTCTACCCCCTCCTCGCTCCCTCCCTTCCCTCTCCTCACCCTGACCATTTCCCCCCTGCTCGGGTCCCGACCCAACTGTCCGGCACCTTGGGACGTCCTCCCGACGTGAAAGACGCTCTATAAATGCAATCTTGTTGTTGTTGTTTTTTAAAATGTCTTGTTGCTCAATTATTTATTCATGTAGTTTCCATATGTTTTAGTCCAGTTTTAAAACGTATTACATATACTTCAGTTGTACTATAGTTTTTCCTCCATTTGTAGGTTGGTTCACCGAAGCTCACAATTCACCATCAGTTAATGAATTGTAGGGCTATAGTAAAGGAACACATTGCGCAATATCAAAGTACATTCGTTGTATTGCTCCTTTGTAGTACATAACAATCTTTATAAATCTTTTAAAATATTTCCTAACTTTAATTTTGTTTTGTTCAGAGTGATGAGAATGATCAAGAACAGCAGTCTGATACAGACGATAGAACAAGCAAAGAGAGTCAGGTAATTTTTTCTTCCATGCTGTAGGCCTTGAATTGTTTATTTTGGAATGGAAACAAATTTTGGAATGCATAAATCAACATAGCCCTCTGGGTTAACTTGTATGTTTATTTGGGGGATGGGTTATTTTGGAGCTAGTGTTATTTGGACTCCTACACTAACTACATTTCTTTTTCAAGTTGTGAATATTTTTGCAATATCCAGCATTTTTGCAATATGCAGCATTTGTTTAAGTGGTTGAATAGAAATCTGCCAAATCATATCAGCAAATTTCCATTAATGTAATCTCACTGGGTTGCCAGTAGATTTCAATAAGTTGCCTCTATGGTTTAAAAAACCTTTATGGATATTCTTTATACTCACAGTGAAATGGCACAATTTGGAGGAATATTGATTCCTCAAAATGATTACTTTGAAGGTTCTCCAGAATTTCTGATGGAAATCTTATGCTAAATTTACTATAATCGTAAGGGTTCAGAGTAATGTGGTTTAATATTATGCAAATTTATTGTGGTTTGGCTTTCATTATACCTATTCCATTCTGTCCTTTGCCAGCATTGCTTTTAATGGTGGCAGATTTTAAATTGGATTAATTAAACTGTTACTGCAATGGGATATGTGTTTATGTCATTGTTGCCAGTTTATTACTGTGTTGAACTGCTGATTCCTGTAAACTGATTGACCAATTTGCAGGATGTTTTTNCCAATTTACATGTTGTTCTGATCATCGTATTGGATCACTACGATTTTCTTTTTGATTAAAGTGAAACCACTGATTGTTGCATTGTAGGAATGAAATGATCTTTCAGGCCATTTTCTTTTGCAGATTTTAGTTCTTAAATAGTTCAGGAAGATTAGTTTGATTTTAATGGGTTATGACATCAGCTAAGTCAGTGACTGATGGTCTTGGCATATGCTCAAGAATCTGAGCTCTGAATCTGAGAAAAGCGACACATAGGGTGGAATAATGAGATTGGAAGCTACCTTGACGCCTGTGGCAAAATAGAAAGTCGGCTTTTAATCCCTTCCATCCATAGAACTGTGCCTCAGCAGAAGTCCAGACTAGTAAGAATTTGACAGCATCACTGCCCATTAATTTCCAGGCAGATGTCACTGAGCTGGAATAGAGACATTGGAAAGCTTCACATCTCAAGTAATTGTCTAAAGATGTTTTCAAACCAAAAGTGTAGGAAAAATTTTGCTTTACAACTGTGAGAATATGAAAATATTTTGAGTTAACTTCTAGAAGGTTCAATCCAAAAAATTCTGACAATTCTTAAGTATTTAAAATGTACCTAATTTGACTGAAAAAGATGTGTTCATAAAATTTGACCTTATCTCACCCTATAAAGACAAGTACTCAGCTAGTTTCTTCATTAATATTTTGTGGGAATGGATATTAATCTTTCTATAACAGGCTAATGCGATAAAACATTTGAATTTTGATGGAAATGGGGCACGGTAGAAGAATAACATCTGCAAAACGTACAATGACCATGCTAATTAATTTACCTGAAAATCCATGCTAAATCAACCATCACTAACGGGTGAATTATGATGGATTTGGTGCAAGTAATCATTTACCATTGTACAATCACATTGGAATTGTGCTATTTTTTGCTTAGTATTTAAGTTATGTTTGTAGTTTAGCATAAAATATGCTTATTTTTATGGTTGCTATATTTTTATTTGAAACTCAATCATTCATTATTTCTCGGTTAGATGTTTGCACACTATTTCTAACCAGCTAAAATTTCAAACCACTTCATATTCTGTGGTTAGTATTAAGCGCTCCAAATTATGGTGGAAATTATCTTAAATGTTATTTTTTTGATTGATTGGCCGAGTGTTTAACTGTGCCTGGAATTAACAACACCAGAATGAACCATATGCATGGACATTCCCCTTCCTCTGGAACAGAATATGCACTCATCCCTCAAAGAGGTGCATCTTACTAAACTAATCTCATAGTATTAAGTATAGGTTAGCAAGAGCTTAGGCTTGGTGACTTCAGAATATGCGTTGGGCTTCTTTGCTGTAAATTAACCAGGTGAAACCATGTAATTTGCTATTGTGAACACTTGTTTCCCAAGTCTCCTCCAAAAGCTTTTTTTTTGGTAATGAATGTATTTAAATTGTTTCCTGTAATTGTAATATTCCATTTTTTTTCTCCTTCCAGAATGACAGACTTTCAAGGTATGTGTCTTTTAATTTTGTTGTACAATATATTGTGCATTGCAATTTACATTTATACAACACATTTCGTGTTGGGAGGAGTCGCTGAGTGTTTGTATTTAGTCTCTGCAATATTTTATGCTATTTCCTGCCACAGAGGAGACTGGATTTTGAAATTCCGTTGCCAGGCATGTCGCCTTGGGGCTGTTTCAGCTCCAGGGAGTGCCTGCTTACCTCTTCTTCCCCTGCCCCATAGTTGATCATTTGACATCCGACAAGTGCAGGTGGATGGCAGAAACCAGGAGCTCTCTGCAAGCTTCCTGATGGGCAGCTCAGCATGGACAGCTCAGCATGAAATGCGTGAGAGCATGGCCACCATCTTTCTGCCCATAGCTTGGATACACATCCCAACCAATTGAAGATAGTTCCCAAAGGCATTCTGAAACCTGAACACAACCTGTTGCAGATCCACAGTTGGAAATCAGCATACTCCATTCTTAAGTCAATCAGTATACTCAATTCTTAGATTAACATTTTGTAGATGACCCTTCATTAGAACAATTCTGATAAAGCACCTTCAGGAAAGGAAGAAAAATTCACCAAAAAGTATTATTTTAATAAAGTCTAATTATCAAATAACTGCCTGTCTTTCAGGTTTCATACAGGATACTCTAGCACGGGACATAATGATGGATCTGATCTGTTGGTTGGTCGAGCAACTTCATATTCTTACAGAGAGGGAAGGCTTTCATCACAGAGCAGGGCAGAAAAAGATGATACGTTGGATTATAAAAAGGTACCCATTTGAAATGGTTTATTCTGCATTAAACTGTTACAATAGTGCTGTATTTGAATAGTCTTAAGATTCAAATCTGATAATGCAGCACTATCTCTGAAATCTTTCAACATACTGCACGTACTCTTTAAGCCTTTGGTGGAGAAATGTCATTAGTGTTTTTGTTTGTGAGATTATTGGAAGGAACAATGCTTGAGATTTTGAATTTGAACCATTGGTTTTGCTGTTCTAGGTTTAGCATTGATTGAAATTTACTGTGTTTCACAGCTTTATGAACAGTTCCTGAGTGAAAATGAGAAGCTGAAGGCTAAGCTACATGACACAAACTTAGAATTGACCGAGTTGAAAGTGCAATTGGAGAAGGCTACTCAGGTACCTGGATTATCTCCCTTTATAAAGCATGATTTTTTCACTTTTAATCAACCTGTAAAAAGTTATGCCTCTGTAAGGTAGAACAAAAGTAATTTTCCTAAGTATCATTTAAATGAGCATTGTATCACAATTGCAAATACAGTAGAGCCTAATTAGGAGCCATTGTGGATAAGTAAACTGTGGTTAGTTAATCATCAGACAAAAATAAATTGGCTAGATTGTTAACCAAACAATTTTTCCATTGAGTGTTATACTGTCACTGTAGTACCACACTATGCCAACTTTATTTTCTCTGCCTTTCTCTTTTTCTCCAATTTTTTTTCTTGGTCTCTGTCTCATTGTTTTTCTTTCTGAGTCTTTACCTCGTTCTGACTGTTCTTTCTCTCAATGTGTCTGTGTGAAATTTTACACATGTTAACCTGTAAATTAGACCTCAATGATGAGGAGAAATCAAAATGTCTAACATGATGAGATTTTCATCGGTGATATCATTTATGCCAAGAGAAAATTATGGTTATTTGTGAACATCAAAGTGATGTTTATCAGGTGCTGGACGGTTGGAAGCTTTTTCCACATTATATTCTGATGCTTCCTGCTTGCCTGTGAACACTAATTTCTCACTGCTATAAATTATAACTTAAATCAGAAATTGTTTTTCCCTCATGACTGATGCCCTTGTAAAAATGATATTGAACAAATCTGATTGTTTGACTTGTGTTTAAGAAATGATGCATCTTAATAATTTAAATGATTTCATTATCAGTTTTATTTCCAAAATAGACTCATGAAATCATTGTATCTATGAACATTCAGTGCTAGAACACTTAACTTTTCATCTTATCAGATGTTTCACTAAACTTAAAATCTCCTCAGGTTCTTAGTTTCTTTAGCTGCGAGTCTAGCATCACGCTGACTTCAATATTGATACAGAATAAGCTTGTTATAATGCAGTCTGGTTCCAATAGCTTCATTATAAGTGAAGTGCAAACAATAGCTAATTTAACCTGAAGTGAGGTACCACAATACCATTGGGCACTATACCAAAGTCTCCGTAAACTGCCTTTAGTTTTAAACTGGAACTTGTATTAATTATTACTGAATAATAAATCAGTGCGGTAGGAATTGTTTTACTTTACAAGCTTGACACCCTTCATCTGATGAGTTTGAGGAAAGTCCTTACTTGATGTGCACTTTGCAACAGGGTTCACTGGGCAGGTTTTGGAAATGGGACTACAATCTGGGATTGATTGTTAGACTTCTCCAATGTGAATGTCTCTACTAGAGGCAGTGGCTTCATCACCTGAGCTATTGAGGTAATGGAAACTTGTGATCTAATAACTGTTTTACAGAGGCACGAAAGAATAGCTGATCGATCACTGCTAGAGATGGAGAAAAGGGTATGTTTTGTACCAAAAATGTTGTAATAGTTATATTAGATATGCTGATATCACTGAAATGTAATTTAACAGACTTTTTTAAACTTTGTTGCATAGACAATTAAGTTGATTTACCAAATTGTTCCTATGCTATTGATTAGATCAGATTCCTTTTGATTGACTTCACATTATTAAATAAAAATAAAATTGAAGTGAATCGATTGAACTCGTTTTGAATAATTGTATAGTTTCAAAAGGTTAACTTTGCAATCCGATATTTACTTGATAGCACAATTTAAAATGTGATTTTCTTAGATCTTTTCCAGTCGGGCTCATGCTGAGTCTTTGTGGTTTGTGGTATGTAAGTAGATCTCACAATGCCTCCTGATGTAAATTGAGTGTAAATTATTATTGTTGATTCTTAGCATATGAGTTACCTGCTGTACATTTAACTTCTACTTCACCTGATCATTCTATTGTGCAAATTTAGCAATGACCAGATGTGCTATTAGGAATAAATTGTAGTTACAGGTTTGAAAAAAGAATGTAAAATACTTGAAATCCGCATCTGCATATGCTATTTTTATGATCTTAATGAATTTTAGTCTTCCTCCTCCCTCCATGTAGTGGTATACTTACATAAAAATGTTTTTGATATAATCAAAGCCTGCTTGAGCAGCTTATCCATCCAAGCAGGGGTGTGGTTGTACAAGCACCAACTACCCTCCAGTACCTCAGCAAAGTGGCTATTCATTATGCACGAGATTGGACATGAGTATTAAGAGGGAATGTGACATTAGGAGACATTGTGAGTGCTACTAACTCTGGGATCTCCATGCATTTTTTTCAAACTGGGCAATAACTTTACCAGCTGAGCAATCAAAGTTCTCTGAAAATCTTTTTATTTTTTGTATACAGCCCAATCCAGAATTCTGTTTCTTGTTTGAATGATCATCAATCTCAAATATTTCTAAAATACAGTAGTTGTATGTGCCAAACTGTGACTTTATTTTTATCCTTCCAAATAATACGTTTTGGAGATTGAATTATACCTAATATTGTTGACAAGTTAACTGAGTAAGCTTGAAGAAACTTAAGTGTTAGCCATCTTACTTTTGTTTTTCTGTTTTTCCCTTTTTTGGGGGTGGGAGAGAAGTTGGCTTGTTCGCTGTAGTGTAATGAAGTCTCAAAAGTCATGATTTTTTTCACTTGGCTTTGAACTTTAAAGTCAACTTTGAAACCTTTCCAGGAGTAATTTTCCCTGTCCTTGATTCTAATCTTTTAATCTGGATCACAGTAATGCCATCAAAATTTCAAACTTGTAGGCATACACCCTTGAATATGGAAAATTAACTCAGCCAGAGGCTTGAAAGAGAACTGACGAAGCAAGTTGCATATAAACTATGTGGGTTAGAATAACCTAAAGAGAGCCAAATCACTCCTTTTTGGTTTCTTAAGCAAAGATAATCACTTTGCTCAAAAAATGGAATATCATAGAGTTTCACCTCAGTTTAGCAGCTGCTGTTGTTTCCCTCCCCCTCCCATTATTCAATCTTAGGAAAGCATAAAAATACGAACCATTTGCCAGTTGGTAAGCTACCAAGTAGCCTATCATTATGGCTTAAATGAACATTGCATCCTTGCAGTAATAACATCTTTCGAGACCTCAGATAGATAGATGTCTGTGACATAGATGAGAGCAAGAGTGATGGATCTGTAGCGAATGCCTAACTGGGAATTTTTTGTAAAAAAATGGTTAATAAAGATGCTGATAGTGCCAAACTGAATCATACAGATTAGGAAGGCTGCAGTTTGATTCCCATTCCATACTGAGTGAGGCGATCTCAGTCATGCAGTTGTTGGTTAAGGTTGGTACAATTGGCCTCAGCCCCCCATCTGCTTGAAAAGGGAAAATTATCCTAGAGTTCCTCTTCTCTATATATTGTGACTCTGCTGGTAAGTAAACATGTTGGAGATTGTATTTGTTGTTAAGTCTGCTGAAATTTTTTGAACTTTAACATTGTTTTGGTGCACACTTGAAGATTAACTATTTAGATGAGATACTGTAGCGTGGGAAATATCCATAAAATTGTATCCCACCAAAAGTCGATGTCTTCAGAAGGTTACAATTGGAAGAGATGAAAATAAATCTTTTCTTTCACATTCTCCAAATGTGCACTCCAATGTTCTCATTCAATTTATGTTGTGATATTCTACATTGCGTGAAGCTTGTTTAAAAACTACTTTATGTTTGCTGGGGTTGCAACTCTTTATAAAAATTGTTTCCGAAGATTTTTTTTTCGACTAAGTAGCCTTAAATGTATTTTCAAATGTAAAGTACAAATTGTGTAACAATTTTGCTATTGTTAAGCAGGAAAGAAGAGCTTTAGAAAGGAAGATATCTGAAATGGAAGAGGAGCTCAAGGTAAACACTTGTTCCTCTTGATAAATGTTCTCTTTATAACAAAACTTAATGCATGAAAAATAGGTTAATTACGAATGATAATTATGTCTTGTAAAAAGCCTGTCGAAGGCTTCTTGTGTTAAAGTAAGTTTAGATTGGCACTAAGCAAAATGAAAAGGAAACTGGTTTTCATTTGCAGAAATATAATGTATACTCCAGGAATTATGCACAGAAAAATAAAAATTCTGCAAGCAAAAAATGAAAATTATGCATAATTACACTTTTTTACAATTTAAATACAAAATAACACTGTTGTAGCCCAGAAGAGAATATGAAGCAGGAGATATTAGCTGCCTCCGTTGGAAGTGCAGAAAGTAACAGGAAGAGATGTGGAGTGGGATGTATGATGAGATTCGGCCATATTATGCAATAATATGCACCTACAAATGAAACGTGAGCGCATAATTGCGTAATTCCCTGGGTGTAATAATGTAAGCAAAATAAGATACCCCATTATAGTGAGCTTTGGTATAACACAAATTTGCTGAAAGCATGAAAGCAAAGTGCACCCCAATATTTACTGACCAAAAAAAATGAAATATATGCAGAAAACTGCCTGACTCACTTCAAATCTTGCTGTTCCACTTCAAAACATCAATTCAAGTTCTAGATTATTGGGTGTTTGCTGTTTCCTGCAGCAGTGACGCTAGTGAAGACCTGATGACTGGAAGTTGGTCATTTGTATTGGGGGAAGCCCCATTATAAAGCTTGTTGTGTTTTTATGGAGCCGAAACATCAGAGGGCTGTTGCAGGACTCTCTTGCTTTAGCTTCTGAGAAGGTGATGTGGGAGGTTATTAAAAAAAAACTATTAATCGTCTTAAAATTAAGGAACATTAGTTATCCTGGGACTCGCTGAATGGCAGACTAAACAGTTTGCTGGGATTGTAAAACCATGCTCATTAGTGTAATAAAAAACGTATTCTTACTCTGAAGGATTATACAATTCCTGAATTAATAATAAACCAACCACTGTGCTAAATATCATTACTGTCATGATATTTAATAAAGTGGTCGGTTTGTTATTAACTCGGGAATTTTATAATCCCCTTGTTTGATCTTGAAGTAAGCATCAATCCATTAATTATTTCTATTATGTTTAGATAAAAACCAGCTGCTTTGTAATGCATTCAGAATTGAGCCCTGATTTTCCTCTGTCAGCACAGCACAATAAGCCACAACCATTTTTATGTAACTCAATTGAGCTGATTTCGTCTAGTAGCCGTACTGTCTACCAAGGAATATTTAGTGCAAGCTACAATTCAAAGTTTTTCTGAACTCTGGATTTGACAAGATTTGGAATCCCATTTAAAAGTAAAGTGAGGGTTTTTTCAGCACAATTTGTCCATTTGGAGAATAATTATTCAACAGTTGTCTTGTCCCCTCTGTGCAACACCATGCTGTTTATTTAAGGTAATCCCTTCATCTTGGTCAAATAGAGAAAGGGATTTCTGATCCATTTCATAATACTAGTAACTCGAGGTCTTCGACAGAATGTTTGGCTTGACCAGCATACATCTGGAAGATTTCTTCCTATAAGTGAGACTCTAAATGAGGAGGCATCTTCAAGTCAGTTTCACAAACGTTTTTTTTAAGACGAACAGTGATTGCTTTCGGTGTAAAAGGTATAAAGGGTATAAACAATACCTTAGCTGTTAGAAATTTCCACCAGCTGCTTTCTTCTATCTGTTATGAAAGCTTTTTATCTCTAGAAATGATTGAACTACTTTGATCTGGTTTTGGCTACTGAGTTATTTTGTTGATTAATTGAGCTGTTTAAAAACCTACACAAACTAGTTTCAAACTTGACTGAAATTAAAAATTGTTCAAAATTTACACCTCTGAAAAAAGTTCTGGACCCAGGTGGAATTTCTCTTTCTCTCATCCCCTTCTTACAGGTCTGAGAACTAGTACTCAACAGAATGATTATATAGCTACCAAATTTTCATTCACATATTAAAAGGCATTTCGCACCGAGTCTGCTGAGCTATGCTAGGTTTTTCCTGTTGCAGTTGTTTCAGTGTCTATAAAGTGACTGAGGATCTCCTTGAGACTTGCAAAAAGTGTTACAATTAATGGTTTAAGACAAAGAGAGAGAACTCTTTCTCTCTTGCATAAACATATCCATTCTTTTGGATGCTGGGATTCACCTGCGGCTTTCAGCAATAACAACTGGAATGTATACTGCCCTCTTCACGCAGAGTAGCATCCCAAAACACTTGATAGGTTACCATATCGTAGTAGAGTATACTAATAATAACCATACCATAGATTTCTTCTACTGCATATGAAAGCTGCTTCATTTGAAATGATCAAACTGCTTTGATCTTTTTTTTACTGCTGATTGCTTCCAGATGCATGCTGGTCAAGCCTTGGGAGCTTTAAAAAAAATCCACAGCTCCTGGCATTTTGCAAAAAGAAAACATTTTGGTCAACTTTTACGTGGTTGCTCTGCCCTCTGAATTCTATCGCATTTCTATTCTTAGGGTTTCAGTGTTTTGATAGGATCAAGCAAGCCATCCATCAATGAAATTTCTCACAGTACATTGCGAGCCAACCAGTGCTTTGACATACATCAGTCAATTATGTGACTTTGGGCTATTAATGCATATCCAAGAAACAAAATATCCAAAAGGTGGTTATGGTAACCAATTGATGTCTGGCCCTAAGTATCTTTCTTGGATGACTGCTCCTGATTCTTTTCATGTCAGTGAAAAAATTAGCAAAACACACAAAACATATAAGCTTTTGCATCTGCAGTATTTTTTAGGGGGAGTATGGGACCTTATCTCATGTCTTATCTAAGATTTAAATGTTTGTTTTTTTACCTATCCAAAGACATTTGACTGCATTATTATCCTGTTTAACCTGAAAAATACCTTTAATGAGCACAGAACATGTTTTATTAATACTAATAATAACCCTGTTTTTAATATAGCGCCTCATTTGAGAGGATGTCTCAAAGCACTTGAGGCAAAGTGACAAAGCAAACCGCTGGATTTCCAAAAACATAGTGACTATTTTGTAGGTGAAAACCACAGCCAATTTGCACACAGCAATATCCCTTAAGCAGCCTTGAAGCGAATGATCAATTCTATCTGGGAGATGGTTGGGATAAACTCTGTTCTCTTTTTGATAGTACTTTGTGCCTTAATATCCTTCTGAACAGGCAGATGGGATCTTGGTTTAATGTCTTTTGGAGGATGGTATCCCTGACATTGCAGCACAGCCACAGCACTGCTTGGGGGTGTCTATGATGATTTCAAAGTTCTGATGTGGGGCAACGCTTCGGACTCAGAGAGAGTGCTACCAACCGAGCTAGGCTGACACTCTTTTGTCTGTAGAGAACCAGAGTATGTAGGAATGTGGATTCAGTTTTGTCGAGAGTCTATGAAAGATCAATATAAAAATGCCAGCCAGTGCTTATCAATCATTTATAATAATAATAATCCTTGCATTTTGATGCAGTGCCTTATTACGTCTTCGAGACGTCTCGAAGTACTTCACAGAATATACTGTAAAGTGAACTGACTATATTTTGTGAGCGAAACACTGCAGCCAATTGTGCTAAAAAAAAATTAGAAGTGATTATTACCCCCGGAAAAGCGATCCGTCAATCGTCTAACAACCGGATTCCCATTTACTGTTAGGTAAACAGAGCCGTGTGGAGTAAGGAAATTTGCCCAATGTTTCGCCCTGCCCGGGAATCAAACCCAGGTCGTCTCGCTTGCGAGAGTGCTCTAATCACTAGGATACAGGACTCCACATATTTATTAGTAATCAGCAGACAAGAGGAAAGTCCATGCACCTCATACTGCTGTGGTTTTATGTATAATCTGTTAAGAACTAAGGTAACCACTTGATCATTTTTGTACATTTAAATGATTGTGAACCCTTTCCTCTGAAAACAATACATCACTATCACTCATAAGAAATGCTAGACGAAAAAAGACCAAGGTCCATCTAGTTTGCCTTCCACCTTCCTAGCAGTCGCATGTACATATGCCCCAAACTACCTATGTACTGTATCCCATACTGATATTTCCTAAAAGAAAACTTATCTAACCTGTGTTTGAATGTAGCATTGTGTTCTTCCTCAATTTAACTCATAATTATTACCCCCCAAACCCGTTAAATAACAATGGTGATAACTGAATTGGAGTGGTTGCATTCCAATTTCACAAGCAGTGACTATTATACCAAGGAGATATTTATGAATCCAAATGGACAGAAGACCCAAACTTCAGGTATGCAGGGAAACCTTAGATTATAAAGTGGTATAGTATATAATCCGGGATCACATTACAAATTCCAATCACGACTTGAAAATCTCTTGTAAGAATGTTTTTGCCACTATTTATGCGAAACTGCATGCGTGACATTGTGCCACATGGAAAATCGGGCCTCAAGTATCATTTTATTCTGAATCCTTTTTCTTTATGCCTGCTTTTCATTCTGCTTTCCAATTCTATTTCTTCTCCCTCTGTTTTGATCCCTGCAGAACCTGCGTCAAGTAAAGCAGATTCAGACTTTGAAGCAGTTAAATGAACGGCTGCTGGCTGAGAATAGGGCTCTGACCAGAGTGGTTACCAAGCTTTCTGAGTCCTATAGGCAGCTCCATGCTGTGGACTTGTAGCTCCTTTCCTTTACTTCATTACTGCTTCCCTTCACAGCCAGGCAGGTGTTACCTTCAGTTAGCTTTCTGGTCCCACCTTTGTTCCCTTTGGGTGAGGACTGCTTTTTTTCTTTGCTACAGTGCTTCATCTAAAACTCTGCTTTGTGCATGTCTTGCTTCTTTGTGAGTTGGGCAGTTATACATAACTTGTACATTTTTGCTCCTAATGTGATTTCCTACCTATCCCAGTACTCCAATGTGGTTCATTTTATTTTGGTAAGTAAACTTGCCCGAGTTAATCCAGGAACGCAACATAAGGTTGAATAGTAAGTAAAATCTAGCCACAAATCTTATAGTTGTATTGCGTTGATCAGTGGTGATTGTACAAGGCCAAGACAAAATGCATGGCTTTTAATTTCACTGGAATTGCTATGTCTGTAACATTTAAATTGCCATCTTATTTTTGTGGAACATTCAGTTGTGGTTGTTTAAAATTAGGGTTAGAGTTTTCCAAGCTTGTTGTTTTCAATGTGGTTAAAATTGTGAAGGGCTCAGCGAATTTTTCTTACAAGCAAATATTTATTGTATTTTCAGCTTATTCACACTTATATAGACATAGGAATACGAGCGTAATGTAATAATGTTATGAAGCTTACTTTACGAGTCAAATGGACATTGCTGTAAAAATGTTGAGTCCTGGTCAGTTATGAGTTGATTGATTTATGTAAATTATCAATTGGGTATGTTTTGGGATGGGTGAGATATTGATGCAGTGTGGAATATCTTGTGTATTAGTCATAAATAGTCTTTATATTCCATTTTTACAATATTTCCTTTAACAACTGAACAGTAGATATTATTTGCAATTGTGTGTTTCTTAATGGATTGTATATTGTGCGGGAAATGTTTAATTAGATCTTGCAATACAAGTGCAAGACTTTTCAATATGATTGAATTGTCACAATTTTGACTTATTAATTTATACTGTAGCAGTAATATATTTGTTTCCGTCTTCTAATAAATTAGCCCATTTTACACTGATCACTGCCTTTAAAGCCGTTTCAGGCGAGGTGTGCTTGTCAAATCACAGTACTGATCCAGAGTTGGTTAGAAAATTAAGATGATTACCTTCTTGATCTGTTCCAAAAAAAGTGAGCTAAGTATTGGTAGTCTGGGTGATCAGTGTGCATCGGGCTAATTTATTAGAAGAGGGAGAAATTATATTGCTGCTACTGTATGAATTAATAAATATGTCAAAATTGTGACAATTCAGTGTAATTAAAATAAGCATGAAATGTCTGCACAGCAAGCTGTAGTTTTTTTTACTGATTTGTGGTGGCTGGTGGGAGGAATAGAGAATTCCATTTTGACTCCTAACCGTCCCATTTGATGGGATGTAATTCTCTGCATGCGTTGCAATGTAGTTTGAAATGCTCAGTGTGTATTTAGGATGGTTGGATTTGGCTCTTAAGTAATAGTGAAGATCAGATGTAACACGCTTACTGTAGTCATTCTGTATTTTTTCCCTAACTTATCCCAGGTCATTATAACACTTCAGAATTCTGAAGGTTACCAAAATGCAGTTGGAACTTTAGACAGCCTATTTATACAACCTCTTTTTAATATGTTTTGTTGTTGTGTCCTGTGTACTTTAAAAGCTAAAAATGAATGGTGGAAATTGCATATTCCTTCCACATTCTAGTTACATTTCAATTTATGGGATATAATAGGTAATTACTATTTTGTTAACTTTTTTCTACGTATATCCAATACAGTCTGTGTATTCACTACAGATGTTACCAGACCTGAAAGCAGATAACCAGAGGCTGAAAGATGAAAACGGAGCCTTGATCAGGGTCATCAGCAAACTTTCCAAGTAAACCGGATTAAACCCGCTGTTATTGCCACTGCATGATTGTTAACTGATCACTCAGCTCTGATGGATTCTTATTGCATTCGTTCGTTCAGCAAAAGGAGATTGTAACATTCGGTCGCCCGGGCCTACCACCTTTTGAGAGAATCCTCTTTCCTGCACCTGTTTTAATGACTATATATTATGATAAAATAAATAAAATATATACGGTCATTATTTTAACAGAAGCTACAACTGCTGAAGAAATGGAACAACTGAAAAATCTTGTTTACAATATGAGGAAAGTGTTTAAGGCCAGAGACGCCTCGGATATTAAACCAATACGCCTTACCTGTACATAAACACTTGCTCAACAAGCAGCTTTCAAAATGTCACATCAAAGACAGTTAAGAATGCAACACATTTTATTGTGCCACAGAATTGTGTTCTTTTCCTTTCTTTACAAGCTTAGAAGTGTTTGAAATGTGTGCTAACCACCCATGTGCCAGTTTAAGTTCGACTGTGTTCGAAGAACTATCAAGTTTGGGGGACAGTGCGTCCAAGCCAGATAAAGGAGGTAGTTTCAAATTAAAATTTGCCCTCCGTATTGAGCAGATAAGATAGACTTGGTGGAACATTTGCTTTCACTGTATGTGCAATATGCATTTCTTCTAAGACGCTTTAACAAGTCAGTTGAAGCAGTTTTTTATGAACATTTTGTTGGCCTTCATTGTCACCATTTTTAAGTTGTAGTGTAAGTTTGTAGGAAATCTGTAATCTCCACTTTCATTTTAGCAGGTACTGTTGTATATGTATATGTACTGTTTTAAGTTTCAGAGCACCACATTTACATAATGGCTACAGAAAACAGATTGCGCCAAAAAGGTGCATTTTTTTTTAAAGAAACTTGAGATTTTATTGCTAAAAAGTGCATGTATACATGGAATGATTTCTTGGTAAAGTTGGGTGTCTGAAATGAAAACAGTTCTTTTGCTGATGATTTGAGATTTAAGTGTTCACAGCTGCAAAATGTGCATCAAAGTAAATAACTAGAGACATTCTCACTGCGTTTTGCATTCTGAGCACCGCATCCAGGCCAATAGTATTAGCTGAAGTAATATCACTAAAACGGCATTTGTCTGGGAAAGCTAACTTGTGCCCCTCACCTGCTTCTAAATCTATTGGGGGTAATGAGGCCACGTGAAGAATAATTAAAAGGCTCAACACCATTATTGTATGAAGTCCTGAAATCAGATATTAAGTTGTACATTTTGGTGGCCCTTTAAAATGTCTTCAGTGAACACTCTTTATTTTAAATCAATATTTGCATTACCCCTAGTTTATTTTGAATATATTTAAACATCCGTACGACTTCATACGGCCGTATTATGTCAAATAAAACCACTGAAGAGTTCAAACATGCAAAGTCAATGTACATTGTAAAGCTTGTGGTAGTTATTGTATTATCATTAAATATATTAAATGTGAATTTATACCCCTTCATAAAAAACAAGGTCATTGTGTTGCATTGCTTGTAGTTTTCTGGTAAAGGAGGCATAATGTCCTTGTGTCTTGTTTCTGTGAATCGGATCTCTGCAGGTGCAAGGTCATGTTCTTACTACCACTCTCAGGAGTCTTGATTTTATTAAGGTACCAAGAGAACTCGGGTTTTCACATTAAAGTGGTATTTGGACTAAGTGATTGTTGGGTTGAGATACTCAGTGGTGACATCTTACTGTGGTATTCTATACATAAATGGAGATGCCAGAGGTTTGATTGAATGTAGTGGCCTGCTGGATAACAGCAATTGTCATATTGTGTGACTGATAACTAGCAGATTGTGGAATATGTTCCGCTAAGTTGGGTGCATGTGCAAAATTAACGTAGATGTTTCTAATATTTTAGTGTTTTATATTTAGGTTATTTATTCTTTATATCTGAATAAATGATATGGCTAGTGTGCTATGTCAGTTTTATTGGTAGTACTGAGCAGACCTTGTATCTGCACAAATCTGATTGCAAAAAACAGCTATTTTAAGAAAATTGTATTTTGACATATACAAATAAAAATTAAAATGTTGGCCTGTGTGATAATTATTTCATTGTAAACTCAGCAATTAAATACAATAAATACAACTTGAACTCAAAAGCATTAGAACAATCTCTCATGCATTAAAGCTTATTGTTTAAATGGTCCAGATACTTTTCAGTTGTTTGTCACAAAGCAGGGAAAAGGATGAGATTTCCAAAAAAGAGAATAATCTGATCCCTGCATCTAGAATTTTTAAATCTTGAAGCTGTAAGATTTTCCCTTACTGTGTCCTGTAAGATATTTGCTTTCACATACCTGCTTCAATTCATTTTAATTGAACATTGCATATACATAACTATTGTTACCCTCATGATTAAAATAAGTATTTTGAATTTTTCATGAGTTATTGGCTTTTATATTTTGCATTATCTGCAGGAAATCATTGTAAGCCACACAGTTAATTACATTTACCCACCAAAGGATGTGTTCCACTGGTTTCTCTGATGGAAGGTCTTTTGAAGCAATCTTCCTTTATTGCTCAATTCTCAGCCTGGTGTTGGAGGAAATGGTAGATGTCATAAATCTGACCTCACTTGGGAAAGGTTGGCTGAATAATACATTTCACCCTTTCAACAAGAATGGTGAATATTTGGACCAAATCTGAGGATTATCCTAGTATGCCAAATGTGTGGTTTGATTAACCATTTGCATGTGTACAGAAGGAATTTCAGATCCTTAATTAGGTGATAACCAGTGAAAAGATTGCATGTAATTCTGTAATCCTTTACATTGACTGTTAGTTACATATTTGAGAGCATCGCTATAATCTTTACATGTAGTTAATCCACCCCACCCCACACATTTTGTACGTGGACTGTTAAGCCATTCAGGGAAAGAAAATTCTTCATACAATTTTGTTCACTAATCCATGGATAGTAGCTCTCTTACATTGTGAAGTTTGGTGCACCAAACTTAATAATAATCCTTGCATTTGATATAACACCTTTCATGGCAGGAGAATGTCTCAAAATGCTTCAAAGAATATACTATAAAATGTGATTATATTAGGAGCCCATTTGTGCACAGCAATGTGCTACAAACAGTCTTGAAGTGAATGGCCAATGTTATTTGGGGGATTCTTGGCCAAAACACCCTAAAAAAGTCTTTCAATTAATATCATCTTTAACATTACCTGACCAGGCAGGCGGGACTTAAGTGAAACATCTCGTCCGATGGATGGCACCTCCAACAATATAGCACTGCACTGGAACGTTAGCCGAGATAATGCGAGTTCAAAGTCCTGATATGGGGCTTGAACCCACAAACTTCTGGTTATCAGTACATGTACAATATTCTTCAGAACATTAAATAGATGAGGAAAGTGTATGTTGGGGAAGATTGAATGTCTGCGGATAATATAGATTTTGTGACAAATTGGCTCTATAGGCTCCAGCAGCCCTCCAATGGCCATTCTTCATTGCTCTAAACCGAGAGCTCCCTGCATGTTGATTTCTGAAACTCAACCAGCCTGTTCTTGGAATAATCATTAGTATATAAAATCAACCAGCACTTGTTATTACACTCAGGAAAGATATATTGGTCCTGGAGGGGCTCCAGTGCAGATTCACCAGAATTATACTGGGGCTTAAAGGAATAAATTACGAGAATGGTTACATAAACTTGACAAAAGTTGAGGGTTGATCTGGTCGAAGTGTTTAAAGTGAGAAGGGATCCAATGGGGTAGATACAGAGCAACTATTTTCTCTAGTGGGGGCATCATCTTAGAATTAGAGATAGGCCATTCAGGAGTGAAATGTGGAAGCCCATTTTCACACAATGGTTGGTGGAAATCTAGAGATTTCTCCCCCAAAAGGCTGTGGGTTTTGGATCAATTAAAATTTTGAAGACTGAGGTGGATGGATATTTGTTAGGTAAAGCTATTGAGGGTTATGGCGCAAAGAGGTAAATGGAGTTGAAGTACAGATCAGCAATGATCTGATAGAATGGTGGAACAGGCTCGAGGGGATGAATGGCCTACTCTGTTCCCAACACACTCATACACTCAGCTACAGATTAGCATTGTAATGAATTTGGAGTAGGTTGCCTGCCAACACTCTTGGCTGGAGACTGGTGTCTAGTGCTGGGAGAGAACATAAAGGGATTTTTTTATTTAAAAAATGTGGGGAATGAAATGAAACCAGTCGCAAGAACTCTGGACCACCGAAGTTCTATAAACGATGTTGTGTAATGCACAAGGCTCACAACGAATAATATGGGGTCTGACGCTTCACTGAATACGCCAGCGTATTTTTGGTATCCAGCCCATTGCTAAATGCCAAAAAGGTTCTTGTAGCTCTTTGAATGTTCTGCGAGCTCTTTGAATGTTCTTGTAACTCTGAGTGAATAGTACTGTCATTGACCTGCAGGATGTGTTCTTGGTATCCCAAAAGGCTGAAGTAACAATTCTGTGCTTTTTGTTTTTGTCTGCAATTTCTACTGCAATTTCTATTGTAACTATGTTACTTGAGGGGGGGGGGGGAAAGTAAATTGAGGTCTTGTTAATGTATCATTCATCCTGTTTATACTGAACAGAAATGGAATGCTGCTGAGAGCAACAATGCTAAATGACAGAAGTGAACAATTCTGTAAATATTTGTTAATTTTAGTGTTGACCTGGAACATGACTCACTGAAGAAGCAGCCACATATTTAACAGCAAAGTTAGTCTTGTATTACCAAATATGTTGTTTAAATGGCACATAGTGTCACTTAAACAGTTTGCTCCATATTTTTGCTTACAAAGAAAACTATGTATTGAAGTAATCAAACCTTGGGGATTTGTTTTTTTTACATTACAATGTTACATACTGAAATGTCAACAAGAAGCTTATTTTGTCCCTCTCCCCCTCCGCTATACCATCGACGACTGTGCTTTCAGTCACTACGCCCCAAAGCTCTGGAACTCTCTCCCCCAATCCCTCCGTCTTGTCCCCTCCCTTCCCACTTTCAAATCACACCTAAAGACTTTACTTTTTGGTCATGCTTACGGTCGACTCCCCTGGCTCGGGGTCAGACTCCGCCACTGTTAAGCGCTCCGGGACGCTACCCGGCGTGAAGGGCTCTATATAAATGCAAGTTGTTGTAATTTGTTTTTGAAACAGATAGTAAATGGGTGTAGAAATTTGGGTTTGATCCTTCAACGATCACTTATTTTAAGGACACTTGGATCCAAAAAGCTTTTACAAGAGCTGTTAAAAATTAATGCATTTCTAATCAAACACAAACATAATGAATTACAAGAAGGGTATGCAATTTGGGGATTTAAAAAATCAGGTAGCTGCAGATTTGTGATTTTTCAGTTTAGTGAAGTTCAAACTTGGAAATTAATTTTCATTTTATTTACAAATTAATTTCGGAGGGACTTGCCCTGTGGCAATAAACGAGCAGCTAATTTGATAATTCTCATCAGGCAAATAAGGACAAAAATAGAAAAGGAAGTGCAGGAGAATTTTTGGGGGTAAAAAGAGAGCTAACAAGAACCAATAAAGGATTTCAAAAAGGAACATGTTCCTGTGATCTTTTTAAAAAAAAGTTATCAGATTTAGAGATGTACACTGAAGGATTTTTATTTTGGATTGTACAGATAGCCTGACATTGTACTAGTTACAACTGCATGAAGGGCTTCTCACAAAATGTGGAAATCATTTGGGCAGAAGCAGTCCGATGTGAATAGTGAATTTTAAGAAATTGAATTTAGTGGAGGTGGGGCTGGAAACTCAATGTGCTACGAAATCACCTCCTCAATGTGGTCTTAACGGGTGGACTCTTGTGCAAATTCTATCTTATTGTTTTTGTAGAATTTATTTAATATATAAATTACAGTACAAAATGCATTTTATGGTGCCTTTCACTTAGGATAAACCTCTTGATATGTTTAACAGATATGATGGGAAGCACCAGGCAGGGAAAATTAAATATCTTGGCCTTTGAAGAGAATTTTCCTTCGATCATCTATCACCATGCTTAAGAATAAAGAAACCAACAGTTCACATATATATATATATATACAATAAGTGTGTTCTTACTCCCTGGAGGGATGCACCTTGCTTACCTAATTCTGGATAGGAGAGTCGTGGAGTCCTGTAGCTCAGTGGTTAGAGCACTCGCTTTGCAAGTGAGAGACCTGAGTTCAATTCCAGGCAGAGGGCGAAACCTTAGGCAAGTTTCCTTACTCCACACAGAGCCTAATAATAATCCCTCCAAAACCAAAAACAATAATAAATTGGTCATTTTCAATCCACGACTGTTTGTGGGACATTGCTGTGCACAATTGGCTGCCGCGTTCGCCCACAAATATACAGTCAATTCACTTTACAGTGTGTTCTGTGAAGCGCTTTGGGACGTCCTCCCGACGTGAAAAGCGCTATATCAAATGCAAGGATTATTATTATTATTAAGTAGGTAAGAGCCAAGGTTTGGGGGACTCGGAGTGTGTGTTGGGATACTGCTGGAGGTTAAACTAGCTAAATCTGCAAAACATGCCATTGAGATCATTGTCTGGCAAGTGTTCCACTGCGTTGCCAGCGAGGATCACTGGCTTTGAAGAGGAGAGAAAAAGTAAGACAAACAGATTTTAGAAGAGTTTCAGAGGCCAGGGGCATTGTAGCTGAAAGCTTGGCCACCGATGGTAGTACAGAGATAATGAGGAATGGGCAACGCAAGACAATTGGAAGAGCAGAAAATATATCTAGGAGAATCTGGCTGAAATAAATTGCATAAATAGGGAGGAGTTTGATTGTCAAGGGAATTGAACAAGATAAGGGTTTTAGTTGTGTATATATATATAAAAAAAAAGTCATTAGTTTACTGCATCAGTTTACAGAATCTATGCACAAAGGATTTGGGAGTGAACACTTAATGTCCTCGATCAGAAGCACAACATATACAGCACACGACCTATGAAAACCCACACATCAAGCTTTGTGTTCAAAGGTCAATTGAACTTTTAACTTGAATTATGAGTTATTTTTATATATAATATATAAATGCAAATTGACAAACGATGGGGTCAATGCCTTGGAGAAACTCCATCATCCTTTGTCTAATTGACAGAATGTTGGCATAGCTGCTTATTAACACCATTTTTAGCAGTGGTTGATGCTTCTGTTAGTCACTGATTTATGTTGATCCTTGGAAAAGCTGCAGTTATACAAATTCAAAACAACTTAAAACCTTTTTTTTGTGAATATCTTTTTTCAACATAACAGTAAAAATACGTATGATTGTATGTTATTAATTATTTTCCCATTAAAGGTGGCATTATAAGTTTTTTTTAAAAAAAATCCTTACTGTTATGTAAAAGGCTGATGTTCAAGGGGTCACAGTCATCGGTCAAATGGCACAAGAAAGAAATAGCCTATGAATTATATCTGTAGAGAAATGGATGGTCAGTTTACACAGAACCACTCTGTTTCAGCAAACATTTTGTTTATTCTTGAAGCATTAATTTGTTATCACGAGGAAAAAAANGATGAAAAATAATTAAATCAGATATTCAGTCATCTGGCTGACTTGCTAACTCATTCAAGATCAGCTAAGGTGCATTTGATTGTTCTGTGACATTGAAAGCCTAAATAACAGAATGGAAGGATATGAACCCTCTATCATGGGTCTGAATGAATTCTGCTTATGCTGCATGTTGAGCATTAATTGCGAACATTAACCCTGATAGTCAAAGCCCTAATTGAGGTGGTCCTAGCTGGACTGTTCTTTCATTGGCAAGCTATGTGGTTTTCACTAGATAAACTCCAGCAGTACCCTTATGTACTCGGCTCTTGCCCACCTAATACTCTCCAAAAATAGGTAAGCAAGGTGCATCCCATTTCACAAATGGTAGCTTCCAAGGATTGTCTCTGTATCTTTATCTGTGCATCTCTGTTTCTGTGTGTGTGTGTGTGTATGTGCGTGTCCATGTAACTGCTTGGGTACACACCTCTCCCTATGTCTTTTTCTATGTCTCTGTCTCTTCTGCTCACTGAATACACACAGACACACTCTTTACAGTGTATCTCAAGGACATAATAAAGTGCTCCATCAAATTTAAGGATTACATTATTATCTGCATATATGTCTCTCTCCCTCTCTATGTGTTCTTGTATCTTTATTTGTGTCTCTCTGCCTGTGTTTGTGTCTATTTCTGTGTATATCTCTCTCTGTTAGTCTGTGTCTCTCTCTGTCTGTTAGTCTCTGTTATTATCTATCCCTGTGTTAAGTGTCTGTGTGTCCTGCCCGTACCCTCCGTTCCTCTGGCTCCGGTCTGCTCCACACCCCCCGCCCCAACCGCCCTACCATCGGTGGTCGGGCCTTCAGCCTCTCAGCCCCGAGGCTCTGGAACTCCATCCCCCAGTGCCTTCGCCGCCTCCTCCCTTTCCTCCTTCAAGGCCGGTCTCAAGACCTTTCTCTTTGACCTTCAGCCTTCAGCTCCCCTCTCGACTCTCTTCCCCCTCCTCGCTCCCTCCCTTCCCTCCCCTCACCCTGACCATTTCCCCCCAATGCTCGGGTCCTGACCCAACTGTACAGCGCCTCGGGACGTCCTCCCAACGTGAAAGGCGCTCTATAAATGGAATCTTGTTGTTGTTGTTATTGTCCCTCTCTCTGTTAGTCAGTTAGTATATCTATGTGTCTCTCTTTCTATGTTAGTGTGTTTCTCTGTATATGTGTGTCTCTCTCTCTGAGTTAGTATCAGTGTTTATGTTAGTGTGTGTCCTCTCTGTTAGTGTCAGTGTTTGTATGTTAGTGCGTGTCTGTTAGTGTCTGTGTATTTGTAAGTTAGCGTATGTGTGGTTCGTATGTGTGGTTTGATCTGTTAATGTGTTAGTGTGTATCTCTGTGAGTGCGTGTCTGTTTATATGTTAGTGTGTTAGTGTCTTTGTTTATGTGTATCTGTGTGTGTGTGTCTCTCTCTTAGTATTTGAATGTTACTGTGTGTTCGTGTCTGTGTTTGTATATTGGGATGTATCTCTCACTTAATGGTTGTATGTTAGTGTGTATCTCTGTGTGAGTGTCTGAGTGTTTGTATGTTAATGTGTGTTAGTGTCTGTGTTTGTATGTTATTGTGTGTTAGTGTCTTTCTTTGTATGTTAGTATCTCTCTGAGTGTGTGTCTGTGTGTATGTTAGTGCGTGTTAGTGTGTTTGTATGTTAGTGTGTGTGTTTGTATGTTAGTGCGTGTTAGTGTCTGTGTGCTTGTATGTTAGTGTGTGTTAGTGTCTGCTTCCTTGTATGTTAGTGTGTGCGTTTGCTTGTATCTCTGTGTGAGCGTCTCTCGGTGTTAGTGCATGTCTCGCTGTTAGTGCTTGTGAGTGTGTGTGACTCTGTGTTAGTGTGTGTATCTCTCTTAGTGTGTGTGTGTCTCACAGTTAGTGCGTGTGTCTCAGTGTGAGTGTATGTGTCTCTCAGTGTGAGTGTATGTGAGTGTCTCTCAGTGTGAGTGTATGTGAGTCTCCCTCAGTGTTAGCGTGTCTCACTGTGTGTGTCTCAGTGTTAATGTGAGTGTTTCAGTGTATCTCAGTGTTAAGTGTGTCTCTCAGTGTTAGTGTAAATCTGTGTGTGAGTCTCTCTCTGTGTGTGTGTGTGTCTCAGTATTAGTGTGTGAGTCTCTCAGTGTGTGTGTGTGTGTGTCTCAGTGTTAGTGTGTAAGGCCTCTCAGTGTATGTGTGTCTCAATGTTAGTGTAAGTCTTTCTCAGTGTGTATGTCAGTGTATAAGGCTCTCTGTTTGTGTGTGTGTGTCTCAGTGTTAGTGTGAGTCTGTGTCTCAGTGTGAGTCTGTGTCTCAGTGTTAGTGTGAGTCTGTGTGTTAGTGTGTGTGTGTGATTGGCTGCTGTGGGATGGCAGTTGGTCGGGGGGGGGGGGAGAGCTCGCGCGGGGGTGGAGCTCGCGCGGGGGCGGTGACGGTGAGCGGTGGTGGGGTGGGGGGGGTGAGGCTCAGGGCGCGCGGGGGGAGGCGCGCGGGGGGGGGCGGGGCGCGGGGGGGGCGGGGCGCGGGGGGGGGGGGCGGGGCGCGCGGGGGGGGGGGGCGGGGCGCGCGGTGGGGGGGGCGGGGCGCGCGGGGCAGATCTGAGCACCTGAGGAATGCGGGGAGTGTGAGTGCGAGAGGCTGCGAGTGTGAGGCGGGGAGAGAGAGGGAGGGAGGGAGTGAGTGTGAGAGGGAGGGAGTGAGTGTGAGAGAGAGGGAGAGAGGGAGGGAGTGTGCGCAGAGTCCCGGAAAGCTGCTGCTCCTCCCCCGGCCACCCCAGGGCGATCATGGCGACAGGCGGCTACCGACCCGGCGGCAACACCACCGACTTCCTGGAGGAATGGAAAGCCAAGCGGGAGAAGATGAGAGCGCGCTACGCGGCCATACCGGCCTCCTCCTCCTCCTCCTCCACCACCACCACCTCCAACAACAACAACAACAACCACCTGAGCGAAGCGGCTCCGAGCCGTAACGGCGGCGCCATCGAGCACAACAACAACAACAACAGCAGTAGCAACAGCGGCGGCGGCGGCGAGCGGCTACCGGCGGCCACAGCCACGGCGGCCACGGCGACTCCCTCAGCCGCTGGCGGCGGCAACAGACCCCCTCCTCCCGCACCCCCTCCCAAGCGCTGTGAGGAAGAGGGTCCTCCCGCCGCCGCCGCCGCCGCCATCATCACCACCACCCCCCCCGCCACCGAGAAGCCGGCGCTTCCCCCGGGAACCGAGGCCGCCGCCATCGCCGCCTCCGCCGCCGACGGCTGCTGTGACGGGAAGGTGCCGGCGGGTCCCGAGGGAGAGGAGGCTTCTCCGTCCAGCGGCGGCGGCAACAGCAAGAGCAAAGGCAAAGGGTCGGGACCCAGCGCCAGGAAGGGCAAAGGGCAGATCGAGAAGAGAAAACTCAGGGAGAAGAGGAGGTCGACAGGTGTCGTCAACATCCCGTCGGCAGAGGTGAGCGCTCTCGAGAAACCGAGACACACGACACAAAACAAAAAATAAAAACAAAAATAACGCAGCACTTTCGTTTTCATCCCGGATTCGCCGCGTTTGTGATCGGTGAAACGTGTTCGGACAACAGCTGAATTCTCTCTCCTTCTTCTCTCTTTCTCTCTCCCTCCTTCCCCTCTCTTTCTCTCCTCTCTCTCTCCTCTCTCTCTCTGCCCTCGACGCTGTGCGACGACCGGCATCGCAATGTTTATTATAGAAGACACTTGGGTTTGTCAGCTCTCTCTCTCTCTCCGGCACTGACTGACTTGACTGGACTGGACTGGACTGGGATGAAGCCACTTTTAAGTCACAAACTTTTTTTTAATATATATATTATTATTATTATTATATTGCAACCAAAAACCCCAAAGTGTTTGAGACGTCTCAACGATGTGATCAAAGCGCTGCGTCACCTCAAATGCACATTATCATCTGCCAACTTTCTGAGTTGAATTATTTGCCTAACAAGTCATTTTATTCCCCCCCCCACCCCCACAGCACCTTTTTACCAGACGAGAAGAATGAATTGGGGCTGAAATGAAAACATAGTGAATTATTATTATTATTATTATTATTATCGTTGACTTTAGCTCCAACGTCCACTGCCATCCCAAACCATTTTTTGTTAATAGAGAGAGAGTTTGTACGCTTAGCTCTGTAGCCTTCCCACATGTTCCTGTTCATTTTACAAGGCTGGATAGGATTGGATTGGATTAAAAACTTCTTCGAATAGAGATAGAGGGAGAGAGAGAGAGAGAGAGAGAAAGCTATCTACAGATTAATTAACTAACGACAGTGCTTCACTGATAGATAATGTTACCAACGTTACACCCAATCGCAATGGTGTACTTTTAACTTTCGCACTGTTTTCTGCTCACGCTCCCACGTTTTTAGGTCAGATCAGATGGTTGTGTAAACAGTTTCAGCATCTGCAGGAGGGCTTTTGATAGTTCTGTAATATTGTGATAAATCGTATCGTGTTTTATCTTCAGCTTTCAGGATGTCATTAGCTCCCCCCCCCCCCCCCCCCACACACACACACACCCCACACCGCCCGAAAGGCGAAGGCAGTTTTATTTCCAAACTGCACAATTTTTTATTTTGGAAATCCTTTGTCAAGTTATTCAGTTCCACCTGTTGAGTTAACTCTGGATGGAAACCGTTTTTAAAAATAATGCAGTAGTTTGACGTTATTTCTTTGCATCTTTACCGTGCATAAATAAACAATAAGAGGCGAAAGTGAATGTTTTGTACTGTTCATGGTTACAGTATAACATTTGACATGAATGGAGGGTTGTGTATATAGATAAGTTAGAGCGATGAACAGAAATGTATCAGCAATAAATGAGCTCATCACGGAACCAGCCATTGTTTATTACAGTAAAATATACATGTGAATTTGTTTTTAATTTCGTATTGGACAGTGATAGATTGAGGCAGAATTAAAACGAATGCTGCTATTTACTTGTTTCATTCATTAGCTGTGCAACCAAGATTCACATTTTTAAAGGTGTTTGTGACTGCTTCTGTGTAATGCTTAGCTTTGCAAAATCGTCCAGTTTTGAGTAAAATGTAATTAAGTAAATATAATTGTTTGGTTCCAAAGTGATTCATTCTCAAGCATGGTACACTCCCTGGGAGTAGTATATGGATCCCTAATCTGATTCTTTTTAACATTGGACTCTGATAGAATGATGTTTATTCAATTGTGACTTTATATTCACTCTTCTCCCCCTGAAAAAAATTGCAGGTCGATTTAACTGGAAGACCTCTCAATGCTTCATTATGCAAAACTGGTTGGCAAACACCTTGGAACCAGTTTGCTTGTCTGCCTTTTGGCTGCAGGGATAATGAAATTAGGTGGAAGACAGTATCAATTTGTGAATACAACAATGCATATTAAGACATGTGTTAAACATAAGCATCAAGACCCAACGTGCTGTGGGATTTTACAAGGTTATAAGTAAAATTTCCAAAGCGTGTTTTTTTTCTTTTTGATAATTTGAATTATTTATAATTTGAATTATTAAGATTAAAAAACAGGTATGTTTTGACATCGAGTTTGAAACAATAATGGTCAATTCCTCTCTACTTTTCTTTCTTTTTTGCCTCCTCCCCCCACCCCACCAGAAGAAAAACGTTGTTTGAGGATTGTGAGCTATTACAGTTCTTTTCGGTGGATAATTCTTAGCTACACATTATAATCTGCAAACTTGTTAGTTTACTATTTATCAGTCTTTTTTTCCAGATGAGAAGAATGAATTGGGATTTAAATGAAAAAATAGTCAAATTTGACAACTCCTATACAAAAAGTGCAGTGTTTCAAGCCTTTTAAAGTAATAGTTGTGGGATGTTTATCATTGTTTTCAGTTTGTAAGTGCTCCTCATTAGGTGTTTTCCTCCAACTTTTGTTTCAAAGGTATCTGCATAAGGCTGTTAGAAAGGGCCAGCCTTGAAATGTAACTGCTGATTAAGGGAAACGTTTTCCTCTTGGTGGGTTGTTTTCCTTATCCATATAAATATGTTTCTATACCAACCTGCTCTGTTAGCACGCAGCAGTCTCCATTATCTGCTCTCCCATTCAAATTAGCTTGTACCCAACCTTGTAGGTGTGGAATTGTGGACTCTTTCTATTACAACAACAACAAAATTACATTTATAGAGCGCCTTTCATGTCGGGAGGACGTCCCAAGGCGCTGGACAGTCAGGGGTCAGGATTACACTATCATTTGGTCATGGAAATGAGATTTCAGATACCAAAGAACATGAGAAATTCTGAATGATTATATTTTTGTTTGGTTTGTTAAAACACATTTACTGCAAAGAAAGTTATAATTTCCACTTCCTGAAAGGGCCAATGTAATTTGCCTTGCTAATGATGGTTTTGTGTCAGTATTGCAGTGTAACATGACTGATGATTGTTGCAGAGGGAATGGAATAGCAAAGGAGCAGCATCATGGAGTTTTAACATCTTGATTCTGATGTGTTTATTGGAACCATATGTCTCAACCTTTACTTTGGATGGAGCTGTCAAATTGCAGTTATTTGAACATATTAATAGATGATGTTAATACAGATAATACTTGTTAAATCTGAACATCATTTAATTAATACCAAATAAAAACTATATTCCATTACTGTAAAAGTCAAATCTAGTTTTAACTAGATTTAACTGTTTTAACTAGTGAATATTTTGGTGCTTTTTTGTGTTGAACAGGTTTTGAATATAAATAAGTACAGTAAATGGGAAATAACTAACTTAAGGGAAGTTTGTGGACTGAGTTGTGGATTAACCTTTTTTGAAAGTTTTTAAGTATGGATTTTTTGTATTTTAAACATAAATATCATGCAGTTGTGAAACACTGGTTTGGGAACTTCCTGATCTCATTGTATAAAAATGAGCCTTTTTATATATCATGTAAAATTCCATTATAAAGATGTAACAAAAAGATAGCTACATGTTACACTGTGATGTTGGATCTTTAGCCTGCATCTAATGTACCAAATGCAAAAAAAAATCTTCAGTATTGCAATTTTTCATCTCTATATTTTGTTGCCTATTCTGGTACAAGTAAATGCATGTTTTTCTTTAGTGTTAAAGCTTTGCTTATTTAAAATGTTCTACCAGCTAAATCAATATTCACATGCCCAAAAGCAACCTTTTGATAATTGTTAATATGGATTCAGGATAGTGTAGCGCAGTGCTCTGAAGAAACCCAGTTTCATTGATGCTACAGATAGGAACCCCATAGTGTGTAGAATAGTCTAATTCTAATATAATAAAGAAACTTATGTGCTAAACCAACTTAAATATGAATAATTTTGAATACTTTTATCGTGTGGAGGTGCATTCAAATGTGTTTTTTTAAAGTTGACCACATTACCTAACAAAAGGTGTTTATGTATCATTTGTAATCTCTCCTTAAATGATTGCAAGATTACAATCTCCTTGCAAAAGCAAACTTATGTTCAGTATTATATTTTAATGACAGGAAACAAATCAAAATACATATATCCTTTTCATGGAATGCATATACCTGCTTAAAAATGAACTGTTAACTATGTAACTGCAAGGGATAAAAAACATGTTTTTGTGATTCGGGGAATGGGGATGGGTAAACTTGAAAAACCTTCAGTCACTGTTCTCAAATGTTCTTGCCTGAAAGCTTTCCATATTAGGTTTTCCTTAGAATTCAATGCTTTTCAGCTGAGGCGTGTGCTGATTGAGAACCTCTAAGGAATGCGGAAATGGGAGTAGGGTGGGGGGGGGGGCAGGGAAGCTTGCAGTTGTAACCTTTAGTTACAGGATTCAAAATGAATATCAATATTATTGAAGTAATTCTTTAAAACCTTCGCTCAGATTAGGTTATATAAAATGGTGATATTGATCCTGGATGTTCTTGGTCATTTCAGTCTTAGGTTTTAATATTTTTTTAAGGGACTTGTTGGTCGAGTTCCTGATAGTGATACTCCATATCTAACAATCTGCCAAATAGAACTTTTTCTTAAAAGAAACATAAACTTTATGAAACTAAAGAAAAAATTGTATTCCTTCTCTTTGAGCAAGGTTGCATTTTTCAGTGAGGAAAACAAGGCAACTGTTTGTCTTGATCCACCTGCTGTCTAATCTCCCCCCAATTCCCCCATTTCTTCCATTTACCCCCTGCAGATGGGAGAATGAAGTTAGCTCACACTGTGGGCAGTTATACAAGGTTTACAATGCAGAGTTTGAACCGCCTTCCACCAGGTAAAACTATTGCAGAATTTCTCCCATTGAGAAATTCAGATAAACTCTTGTGTATCTGCTTATTCCCTTCTCCTGGGATCTACTGTTGTTTCAGAATCGCTAATGATTGTGTGGGCAAAATGGAGTCAGGAAAAGTGTTTTAATGACAGGAAAATGTTCAGCCTCAGATCTGAGCCTGTTGGCAATCCCTGCCTAAGAGGATTTTTGTTTTGTCTTG